TGCTGATCTGTTTACTGATGAGTGGGTTTTTACATTGTCTTATCTGGCAGATATATTTTCATTGCTGAATGAGCTGAAACTGCAGGGAGAGCATGATGACGTTTTCCACGACTGTAAACGTGTTCTCACTTTTCAGAAGTCTCTAAAATTGTGGTTTGCATGCCTCAAAGGACCAAAACCATGTCATTACATGTTTCCAAATGTGTTAAAACACATAGAAGAAAATGATTTCACTGACACACAAGTAAAACATCTTACTGAACTCATTGTAACACACATTGCAGCTCTTAATAATAGTTTTGACCGCTATTTTCCAAAAGAGAGATTTGATAAGTTGAATGGCAACAGGTGGATTCAAAATCCCTTCGCTCATGAAAATCCAGAGTCTCTGCTTGAGTTAGGATTGACTCCTGGAGAAGAAACAGAGATGTTGCAAATGAGCAGTGATCCTTTGCTAAAGAAAAGACATGAATGCATGCAGTTGTCCTCATTTTGGATAAGCATCTCATCTGAATACCCTGCCTTAAGTAAGGCCAGCTTTCAGCTTCTTATTCCCTTCACATCAACATACAGATGTGAAGTAGGGTTCTCACTTCTAACAAAAATAAAGACAAAATTCAGAAGTAGACTGATTGCAGCACCAGATATGAGAGTTGCATTACGCTCTTGTAAACCAGCCTGGAATGCAATACTGAAAAACAAGCAAGCCCATCCATCACATTAGCAAGGCAAAAAAATAAATAAATAAAACATTTTGGTAAAAGCCATATTTATGACTTTCATCACTAAGCATATGTGAAAAATATTTTCTATGCTTGAAACAATTTTCGGATATTTGCCTGTTCTGAATGTTTTATCTAAAAGTTTTGTGCAATACTCCGTTTAATGTCCGAAGATAAAAACATTATCCTTATTCTGAAAATGTTTTGTTTTTCAGATTGTCTCTAAATACATAAAAAATGTACATAATGTTTCAAATATGGTTTTTCATTTTTATATTCAAATTTGAGACTTTTTAAGTTAAAAAAAGAAGAAATGCAAAGGGCTCCATTTACAATGAGTAATTATTTTTTTCAATGGGGTCACGATGTTTTGTCTTTTTCAAAATGTGGGTCATCTGAAAAAAAGATTGGGAACCACTGTTCTAGATGACAACCAAAGAGTCATGCACAGTAAGTTGATTAGTAGATACATTGGCATATGTGGTGTTAGCACTCTTGGGTGTTTTACAGTAGGTAAAGTAGGTACAGTACTACACTTTTTATGGTAGTTTATCTCTGGCATTACAAGAAGTATGCGTGTTTGTCTTCTTGCTATTAGCTTGCTGTCATAGTTCTGACTGACTCATTAAAGTAAGTAAAATGCCACAATTGACTCATTATTCACTTCACACACACATTTCACTGTAATATTGAATTGTTGGTGACTGAAAATGCAGCTTGAAACTATCAACCCCCCAACCATCGGAGAAGGAAATCTGTTTCAATGTAACCTTCAACAAGACTGAGACACAAGACTGTTTTGTGATTATTTCACAGTAGAGTTCTGATAAACTGCAGCTTTAAAACAGTTTCCATTGTGGAATGAATTAATCCAATTAAACTATAGTTTTTGGGTAACTCAAATATGTTCATAGCTGGCGTTTCTCTACAGTAACTCCGTGATTAGGTATGCAGCTGGCTACCTCTGCGTGGCTTCGGCCCACATGAGATAAAACACTTAAACAATTACTGTCTTATCTACTGTGGTGGGGCATGAGCGTGTGGCCTCATTATGACCAGATTAGAGAGAGAATTAGTGATTCACTCACTCTTCAGTTCTTATTGTCAGCCCATCGGGCCCTCAGGTAACTCTAACCACATTACTGTCTTCACTGAGAAACATCTGATGATACTCAAACATTGAGTCCTGTGTGTTTTATCTGTTAGCTGTAATGTAAGCTAGTTGATCACTACAGGGTTCTGGGTCAGTTGTAACAACAAGAGTCTGGGTCAGTTGTAACAACCAAAAAAATGTTACAACTTACCCCAACTTAAAATTTTCTTTTATTTTTATGTTTTATTTGAATTTCAGCATGCCCAGAAATTGGAAAAGGAAGAATGACCGATGGGTGCCTCTCTGCATTCTGGAGAAAGCATCCAATGATGTTAAACTTCAGGGAAAGTGTATCAGATCAGTGGCTAAAATGTTTGGTATTTGACACGTCACACTTTACAGATTTTGTCGAGCCAGGAACAAATTAGAAGAGCAAGGATCAAGACAGCTTCCATGAGTAGGATACTACAGTAGATAAAAGGCCCTCAGTGATGATCAGAAGAAAATGCTGACGAGGGCTGCTGACGCTTATTATGAACATTGTCCACTAATGATATGTGAGGATAAAGGTAGCATTTTATATTGGCAGCAATATAAGATTGATCTAGTTTGGAATACTGTATTTTTTTTGTGTGGTTTTAATTTACAGGTCAGAGAACTTGCATATCAACTTGCTGTGAAATATGAGTGCAAACACCCAAAATCATGGAATGAATCTTCCAAAGCTGGAGCAAATTGGTTTTCAGCCTTTATGAATTGGAATCCAGCTTTGTCTTTAAGGAGTGCAGAGGCCACAAATCTTGCACGGCCCACCAGCTTTAACAAACACAATGTAGAAATATTTTTTTAAAACTTGATGATGTGTTAATGAGAAACAGTTTAACTCTAAATGACATTTGGAACGCTGATGAAACCGTCTTGACTACTGTGCAAACCCCTGGCAGAGTGATTGTAAAACATGGCACTAAGCAGGTTGGAGCAATGGCATCAGCAGAAACAGGGTCACTGGTCTCCGTTGTATGTGCAGTCAATGCTATTGGCAACACAATTCTGCCAATTTTAGGCACTTAAAGAGCAAGTCACCCCCTACCAGAATCTTACTCAACTCCCACTTCCTGTTTGAAAAATGCAACAAATGCTGTTGCCTAACAGACCGAGAGGGTGGAGCCGCTAACAAATACACACACTCACGACATTGTGATATCATAATGTACCATCTAACATCATAGTGTACCTCTTAGCCAATAGCGACGGCAGAATTTCAATTCAAATGCAGAACTGAGTTTTTACCTGACGACGGTGCAACACTGACAGTTTTAGGCAGAATATATAAATATTAACTAAGATGCAAGTGCCGAATTATTGACTACACGTGTCTGCAGCACGATCAGACACTCATTGATATAGTTTATCAGGAAAAAAAATGTTGATTTGAAGTGACTTGCTCTTTAATGTAAAGACCCCCCCCCCCCATCCATGATTGCAGATGCAATAAAAACCAGAGTGAATTTCTTTAAGAAGCCTAAAATCCAATTTCCAAACAGAGTTTAAAACTACTGACCCTACTACTGTCAGAGCTTTTGACAGATCAAAACTGTCTCATTTCTTATAAAGAAATTAAATATCTGACCATTTTACGTCATTAGCAAAGCAACAAGCATTAGACGAGGAGTTTTGACAAATTATTTTTGATTTATAGTGAATGCAAGTTCTTTTTTTTTTTGGGCAAAAACTGGTTGACAAACTGATTCTCATTGAATCTAACTATCTGATTGGATAACACATTTTTAGACCAAATGTCAAAGAGCATTTTGTTGTGATGTTTGACAGCGTAGAGCTCTGAAATCCAAGTCTTTGTTCATATCACCTTTATTAGAACAGTAAAAATACCACAAAAGAGCTGTTTTAGGAAAGGACACTAAAGTCTTTCAGCTTCATCTCACATCTCCTCCTCTGTCTGTGCTGTTCTCTTTCATGAGGAGACGACGTAAAAAGACACTCAGAAAGTGAACAATGGTGTTTGAAAGAATAATGAAATCTTAATGCCGTCTTTGTACTGTCAAAAACCCCATGTCCCTCTCTGTGGCAGCTTCTCACACAGCTTTTCGCTCAGCTTCTTTTATTTTTCCGGCCTGTTCTTCGATTTACTGCACTCGTCTCTCCCTCTCGTCTTCTGCAGGGCGGTGAGAGCCGCCTGACTGTGTTACAGGCAGCTCCACTCAAGCATGCCCTTACATTTCTCGTGGTGTTTTCCTTGCACTCAGTACCAGACTCACATTTGGAGTTGTGATTAGTTGTCTGTGCGTGCTCTGACATCTGTTGACAGGCCCTGTTGTGTAATTATTTATCCAATCAACAAGCAGGAAGCTTTAGCTTTCAGCATGTCTGTAAATTGTCATTGTTCCCACATGAACTCTGCACCGCAGAAAAGACGATTTACCTCTATAATCCCCCTACAAAAGTAAACACAATTTTTATTCAAGTCATTGCTGACAGGTTAATAACACTATCTGAACAGGGATTTTTTTTTATTCACATTATTTATTTCAATTGCATCTACATTGCCTAGCTGGGTTGTTTGTGGATTGTATCAAATGCATTTGCAAGACTTTGCATGTCACGTCTTTGGTGTCTTAGATGCATTCTGTCAATCTCAGCGTCTTGTTTAGGATTCTGGTTTTGACATTTACAGCTCTACATGGGCAAGCACTGGTCATATTTCAGAACCTTTACATCCATTTATAGTCCAACAAATCCCTGAGGTTGTGTTTTAAGATCCTGGTGGCGTTGCATCACCCTGATTTGAGCACTAATGTAGAGAAAACTTTAGAAAGAGTAACCCTCAGACTTTGGAACTCTCCCCCACTGATCTTGAGATCTGCAGATGTGATGATTTATTTCAAAACACCACTAATATCTCAACTTTTCAAACTTGTTTTTGGTGAAGTTTCTGTGAGGCTCTTTTGCATTTAGCTCCAAGCACTGCTGCACTCATTTTCTAACGTAGAAACTTTTATCAAATCTATTGATGGAAAACACTTTGCTTAGTCATGCTGGACATAAAAAAACAAGTAATTATTTAAAAATAGAAAAAAAATACATCAACAATCCACGCCCCTTACATGAAGAATATGCAGAATCTGATAACAAAGATGTGATTTTTCTTCTTCTCCCTCTCTGTATAGACCATGCTGACTGCCATCTCGATGAGTGCCATCGCTACCAATGGAGTGGTGCCAGGTGGGTGAGCAGACACTGGTACCACACAGTCATCACAGTTTGATGTTGCTCGCTTCTAAATTTTTCTGTTTGCAGATTGCTTTTGGCACAAAACCCCGCGCAGCTTGATTTAACCAGAAACATTAAGAATTTCAGTCTAGGCAGTTTGTGCACTTCAACTTTGTTGTTGTGCATTATTTACTCAAAATAAATCATCAGCCAAATGCCCGTCATTACAGTCTGAAACTGCACATATGCATTCATATGGAGACTTTAACGTGCACAGGGCGCAGCAACATTTTGATGCGTGTTACAGAGTAATGATGGTCTGTGTCTTAACTGTTGCTGCGCTTGGGTCAGAGGAAATTACAGGCTTGCGGCAGAGCACGAATCTCTATGCCAATTATAACTGTCTGCAGTTGTAGCTGGTAGCTGCGGCAAAGGGGCTGATTAAGGTCTATTTATTTAGGTTTAATTAATTAATTTACACACGGTTTCCACACAAATACAAAAGGACTGTGCTCAGATTAAACAATAAGAAGATGCTGCTAACAGAACAAACTGTGCAGGGCTAAGGCAGTAGGAAACAGTGGTAAAATTACAGTCATTTTCTAGATTGTATAATTAGTCAAATGTTATTAATGAAAGTTGTTAACGAAAATAGAAGTTTTTTTATCCATGCATCATAGGTGCAGAGTTTCAAACTAATTATCTGTCTTGATTTGTCATTTAACTTCATCTGTTGCACAGAAATACAGTTTTAAAGGGGACCTACAATTACTTTTATTTATAAAGTTATGATAGATTTACGGTTGACACACAACATGTTTATGAAGTTCTGTGAACTAAATTCCTCGCACATGAAGTCATGTCAGTACTTTTATTATTGACATTTTCAGTACCCTCCAGAACGAGCCGTTTCGGGGCTCTGTCACTTTAAGAAAACAATCTGGAGCTGGCCATGCCCACCCATCCCCAAAATGACTGCCATTAGCTGAGAAGCTCCGACATTCAGGAAGAGCTCAGTGAGAGGTGGTTTCTGTTCTAATTTTCCCATTTGTGACATCACAAACAGGGACTTGTTTAAATGGCTTGTTTTGGACACATAATTCCTAAAACCAAAAACTGAGATAATGGATAGATGGATTTTCCACCTGTGTCGAGTGTTTACAGAGGCAATAAAGACCCACAGGGAAGCACAAAATCATGCAGAAAGTGTGTTTTGTATAAAATATCTATCCTTTTTAAATGTCTAAAAGAGCTGATTTTTCAAATAACTTCATGAATACCAAAACATGTGACTTACGCTCAACATAAAGGTTAATATAAATAACTTTTAGGAAGTTATAAATGAAGAAGTTGTTCATCTGGTGTTTGCATGCAGCCGGAGGCTCCTACTACATGATATCCCGCTCACTGGGCCCTGAGTTTGGAGGAGCCGTGGGGATTTGTTTCTACCTGGGAACCACCTATGCTGGAGCCATGTACATCTTAGGAGCCATCGAGCTCCTCCTGGTAAGAGACTGTCTTTCCTTTCCTCTTGTTTTGTCTCTTCCATCATCAGAGCAACATCTTTAGGTGTGTTTCTACTGTCAGAACTTCAGGGTAAATTTAAAGGAACTTCCCAGGTTGTGTGTGTCTCCACTTGACCAGGCCGGCCGAACGGCTGTTTTCAAGAACTTTCTGAGTACCTGAACTGGGGTAGGTACTTGGAAAGAGAGAGTTGAACTTTTGGTTAACTCACGCTGATTGGTTGTAACTCAGTAGGAAAGTGCATCAGCAGACCTTGTTCCAAACAACGTCAAATCTCTGACACCAGAAAATATGGTGTAATTGCCCCACAAGGCCTTAATGTATGGAGCTTTGTTGTCTCACAGAGTGCTGTAGAAACTGAGCTTCTTCTGGTAATTGAAAGCCACATTTCATTACGCACCTGCTTGTGTTCTTAATGGATTAAATGATGTTGGACTTTGACAGAATTCAACTTTTGATGTTATTAATGTTACTGTGGATGCTTTGTGGCTCTGATCAGTGACATTAGTCGCGATATGCTGACGACTGTGCAAAAACAGACATTTCTGAGTCGCCCGGTGGACTGGTGCTGCCTATTGTAGCTGCTGTAGTGGCTGACCGCCATCTTGGATCGATCTCCACTCACCTCCAGTGCATTGAGGAAGGTGATTACCCAACTAAAAACTCATTTCATTATGCTAACCCTAACCCTAAATTAAAATATAAAATCCCATCATGTAGGCTAGAAAAGATGCTCACCCTGCGTTGACTCTAGTTGGGTTCGAGTGAAAAACCCATCCAATATGGCTATGGTGCTGTTACGCTCTCCAGTGCCCAGTGGGGTGTCTACGTATTCACGTCTATGTGTGGAAAGTCCTGAAAGGGCTGCATTTGAATGGAGACACTAAAGCCTGATTTATGCTTCTCCGTCTGCGTCAGTGCGGAGCACACGCAATGCCATTATCCGTCCTTGCGTAGGGATCCGGCAGGCACGCAAGTACGTACGGAGTCGAGCCCACTTTTTTAAGCATCCGTCGAACGAGACGGATTACGCAAGCTTGTGATTGGTCAGGACGCTGCTGTTGTTTACAGCGCCGCCATTGCAAAGAGAGCCGAGGATAACTAGCGGCAGACACGGAGAAGATTGAAGAATACCTCGCAAAAAAACTCTAAAAATATGAACGTTTCATCCTCCCGTGACTGGAGGAGTGAAAAGATGCACAGCAAGCGTTTTATTTGTGGACGGAAATGACAGGAAACGTGGGTTTAGAGGTGGGGAGCATGAAGCGGTGGGAGAATGAGAGACAAATATGTCCCTGTTAAAAGTCTCTTATATACACAAAAAACAATATAAACACACTATCTTGGACTGGATACACGGCAGGATACCACAGAACAGCGCTACGCCCTCTGTTGTCCTGCCGGGCAATTGCATTGCAACACTCTCCAGGAGACGGAGAAGTAAAAGAGCAAAATGCTTCCGTCAATCCGTGCGTGTCTGTCCCTTGCGGAGCTGACGGAGAAGCATAAACCAGGCTTTTGAGCTCGCTCAGTTCACACTCCCAAAATTTACCCTGAAGTTCTGACAATGGAAACATGCCCATTATCCGCTCAACCTTTTATTGTAGCAATTACTTTTTTATGCAGCTGGATCCCAGAAAGAAGGTGGAGGTGCCCCAATAATCCCCTAAATGAAAATAGATTTATTAACCATAAAATACTGAGGGACCATGTTCCTTTAAAAATATTAAACTTGGTGTCATTTTTACCAAATAAATTTCACAGAAAAAGCAAAGGAGCACAAAATAGGTCATTTTATTTAAATCAGTTTTTAGAAATTCTAATTTAATATTTGTGTCGCTGACATCGGTCTTGTTTTCCAACTCAACAATGGAAACCGGAACACATTGAGGTATTTCAGATGCAGTGTTGCCATAGCAACCCGGATTGCTTGTTAATCTCATACATGTTTGTCACAATTTTTGTTGCTCAGCAGCAGGAAGATGATCCGCTCGTTTTTAATCCTAGCCACAAATCTCTGAGTGGCTCCGATTTTCTTATTAGGAAGAAAAAAAAACTGCCCATGAACAAACAGATCCGAGACCAGCGTGGCCACACAACAACCTTCTGCAGGCTGAATGGCAGAGTCTGAATTTTATGATATTAACTGAAACTCTAGCGTTACATTATATGAAAACTCTTGTCCTGTTTCATTTTATTCTCGCTGCTCTTTGAAGCTATTTTAGTCTCAAATTTGGAGCCTAATGAAAAAATAATTCTGTGATGTTTCCGTCTGGCCTTTCTCTCCCTTCCTGCTCCTATTTCTATTCTTTTGCTTTTCATCTAATATATCTTCCATATCAATCCTGCATGGAATATTGAGTAAATACACAGTATAATGACAAATCAAGATGCTGATGAGGTAACATGACCATTTAATGACACAACTCTCAGCAATTTTGTCCAATTTTACTGGGTGTTTTATTTTCGTTCCTTTTTTTCTTCTGGTTGCTTCCAGTGTGCAGAGTTTGATCCCAACTGGAGGTTAGCTCTGTCTTCTGGGTCAAAGCTGGCTTAGCTTCCATTGTAAAATGACAATCCCGGCAGAATTGCGAGAAACGGATCTGCAAAGGCCTGATTTGAATATGTTTCATCCTTCCACCCAGGCCAAGAACACAAACTGAAGCAGCTATTTTAGGAAGCATGAACAGTTCACAGTGAGGCAGGAGATTTGTTTGCCTGGTGATACGCTGTTAATAGCATCAGAACAGCTTCTCCAGCCAAATGTCTGAACTCAGCCACGACTCCTTGCTCCTTCTTATCACTTGTCTAATAGCTTTTTATGGTAATTTAACTGTGTGTGGTGGAAATCGAGTACCGGTTTAAAAAAGAAGGCAGAAATTCCCACACTTATGTAATAGTCTTGCTATGAATCATCTAGAGCGGATGACAGACGCTGATGGGCTAATTATGGGTGCACTGTTTTATATATCATGATGGGCCTATCTTTAAATAAGTAATAGTAGAAGTGTTTTAATTGTAGCTCATTTAAAATGTTAATAGGATGCTCCAATTCTTTAATTAGGATAAATTATAGTAGCCGGGATAATTCTTTCATCTTTACAGATTAACTATTTCTGTTTATTCATTTAGGGGGACTTATTTTTAAACCTAGGATAATATTTTATATGTTGAACAGTGAGTAAGATGACCAGGACTCTAATCTTAAATATGTCAGTTTTAATCCTCAAATGGATGGACTTCAGCAACTACCTCCAGCATGAACTATAATAAGATTTCTATGTGAAATCTTTTCCCTTGTTGTCCATCCACTCAATTTATTTCCGCTTATCCAGGGCCGGGTCACAGGGGCAGCAGCCTAAAGCCAGGCGTACACTGTGTGATTTTTTAAAATCGTTTTAAGTTGATTTCCCTCTTGTGTGAGAATCTTTGAGGTCAGGGTGAGTTTTGCATCATGTAGTATACAGGGGGTAACGAGAGGCGATTAAAACCTCACGACCATCTCCCGATCAGAAATTGTGCAGTTGCACGAAAATCAAGGACAACTGACATCAGTAACAACGCAAGTCTCTGAGTCTTCTGGATTTTCGCACTTGAAGGTTTGACATGTTGTGTAAAACCTACTATTTTGAGCATATTTTTAGGTCGAACATGTTGCTACCAGACATGCAGAGTGAGCAGTTAGGTTGCATCCGAGATCTGGGACGTACAGTGAGAGATGGAGCTGAATGCTACTAGTGAAAAGGTCGCACAGTATACTCGCGGCCTACTCAGAGAAGCCCAGATTTCCCTCACCCCAGCGTCTAGGGCCAGCTCCTTTGGGGAAATCCTAATGTGCTCTCAGGCTAGCCGAGAAACCCTCCCCCCAGTCCTAAACAGATGCCTGAGCCACCTCAACTGGCTCCTCTTGATGTGGAGGAGCAGCGGAACTCCTCCGAGTCCTTCCCAGATGACAGAGCTTCTCTCAATCCACCCATTTAGGCCGCTTGTATCCGCAATCATTCTTTTGATTACCCAACGCTCATGACCGTATATCAGGGTTAGAACATAGATTGATGACCTGCAAATTAAAAGCTTTGCCTTTTTGCCCAGCTCTCTTTTCACCATGATAGTTTTTCCCAAGATTCATGAACAAGACTTTGAGGTGTTTAAAGGCCTCCACTTGGGGCATGATCTCATCCCTGACTGTAAAGGTAAATTATCCTAACTATGATTTAATCCTCTACTTAGATCTACATAGTGCCCAAAGCTGCCATCTTTCCACTCGAGGGTCTGGAGGGTCCTGAGGCGGAGGCTGCCCTGCTTAACAACATGCGTGTGTATGGGACCATCCTGCTGACCTCTATGTCCACCGTCGTCTTTGTTGGTGTGAAGTACGTCAACAAGCTGGCCCTGGTTTTCCTGGCTTGTGTCATCCTCTCCATCCTGGCCGTGTATGCTGGAGTCATCAAGACAGCCGTCGAACCACCAGTCTTCCCGTAAGTGGTTGCTGCTCAGGCAGCCGATTCCTCAAACATGAGCATAACTAAAACGTTCGGAGCATTCATAGTGCACATGACTGTACAGCTTATAAGGAACAGCTAGCACATGAACACAAGTGACACCGGGAAGGCCTTTATTTATGGGGCTCACTAAACTTGTAAGGTATTGTTTAAATTGCAAATCTTTATGTTTTTGGCATGTCATCCAGAAAAAGAATCATTTAAGTAAAGTGAGCATTCAGACGTGTATTTTGGCCCCATGCCATTAAGTGATTTATAAAATGGTTGAAGTGCTTTAAAATCAATTATGTAGTTTAATGGTAACCATTGTAGAGATTTAAAAACAGGAGCGATGTGTTCGATTCCCTCGTGTTACACCCTACCCCGGCTAGGAGGTCCAGGAAGGAGGAACACAGATAATATAGGACTACCAGAATAAAGGAAGGGGAGGGCATGGCCATTCCTTAGCAAACTTATTTATTTAACAGAAAGAGTCCCTCAACAAAGGAGGTTGGTGCATAAGACACTATAATGCAACATAGCTGAAGATTTAAGGAATATAACTAAAGGAGGTTGTTATAAAACACAACATATCTAGTGGCGGATGAAAAGTGAAGTGATCACATAATGATCACTACAATAAAGTGAAGATCAGCAAGCTGTACCAACACTAACACTCTTAAATAAAACCAACAGCAAGCCATAAGATCTCACAGTTTACCACAAATAAGTCTAAAAGTATCCCAGTCCCAAAAGTCCCACCAAGTCTCTTAAGGCAACATTATCTAGCAGCAGTGGAGGACAACAGACTAAATCTGAGTCCCCCTCAACAGGTGACAAACACCTGTTTTTAAAGATTGGATCATCACAGCCTAATAGGTTCCACTTGGGATTCTGGCAGGAAGTTTCTTGCTAGAGGGCCGCTCTCCATGGTGCTGAACCTCCAGTTGGGGGATCTGGTAGGTAGCCTCTGCTGGGGGGCGCTCTCCATGGTGCTGAACCTTCAGCAACAGGAAACCATCCTGAAATGGCCCAGTAGGCCACTGGACTTCTGGGGACCGCAACTCACAGGGCTCGTGACACCTTGGTTCTTGTTAAGACGCTAGCAGCAGCATTCTAGATTTAAGGAATTTAAATAAAGGAGGTTGTTATAAAACACAACATATCTGGCGGATGAAAAGTGAAGTGATCACATAATGATCACTACAATAAAGTGAAGATCAGCAAGCTGTGCCAACACTAACAGACTTAAATAAAACCAACAGCAAGCCATAGGATCTCACAGTTTACCACAAATAAGTCTAAAAATATCCCAGTCCCAAAAGTCCCACCAAGTCTCTTAAGGCAACATTATCCAGCAGCAGTGGAGGACAACAGACTAAATCTGAGTCCCCCTCAACAGGTGACAAACACCTGTTTTTAAAGACTGGATCATCACAGCCTAATAGGTTCTAGCTGGGATTCTGGCAGGAAGCTTCTTGCTAGAGGGTCTCTCTCCATGGTGCTGAATTTTGAGTTGGGAATCTGGTAGGTAGCCTCTGCTGGGCGACCGCTCTCCATGGTGCTGAACCCCCCAGTTGGGGATCTGGTAGCCTGGCCTGCCAGACTCGTTCTCTGTTTTATTCCGCACAGAGAATGAGTCTGGTAACTCACAGGCAGAGAGGCACTTGAGGGGTGGGACTAGGCAGCTAAAAAATGACCAATCAGAAAAAAGATGGAAATCCCAACTGGACCGCACAATGCGGTAGATTTCTACTTGTAGTGAAAAAATAACAGCGTCTGGCAACGGCGCAAACATCTTTTACTTTTTTAGAAAAAATGCTTTTAGCTCTTCTACTTGTGGTTTTAAAGACATTTGAGTCATTTAGAACAGAGGAAAGAGTCGCAGCAAACTCCGCCGCTGTCTTTGTTGTTTATGAGAAACTGAGCGCCGACGTGTGTGACGTCCGCGACGCTGTAGTTTTTTTTAGCTGTAGTAAAAATGGAGTTTGGCGACAGCGCAAACATCGTTGTTGAGAAGAAATGATTTTAGCGCTTCTACTTGTTGTGGTTTTACAGACATGTTCAAGTCATTTAGAACAAAGGAAAGAGCTGCAGCGAACTCCACTTCAGTCACCATGTTTATGACAAACACGGGGTGGGGTTATTTGAATAGGAGACTTCCCAGACTCTTTCTCTGTGCAGAATTAAACAGAGGAGGAGTCTGGCAGGCCAGGCTAGGGATCTGGTAGGTAGCCTCTGCTGGGGACCGCTCTCCATGGTGCTGAACCTTTAGCAGCAGGAAACCATTCTGATATGGCTCAGTGAGCCGCTGGACTTCTAATGTGTGGACTGCAACTCACAGGGCTTGTAACAAATTGGTTCTTGTTAAGACTCTAGCAGCAGGATTCTAGATTTAAGGAATTAAAAATATATATGACAAAAAATAAATAAATGCAAAAGACTCTAGCAGCATCATTCTGAATAAGTTGCTTCATAGCCTTTTTGGAAAGATCAGTTAGAAGACCACTGCAATAGTCCAGCCTGCTGGAGATGAACGTGTGAATGAGTTTATCTAGGTCCTGTCTGGACATGAGACCTCTGAGTTGTGCTAATTGATGAAGATGATAAAACGCTGATCTAGTTATAGCCTTAATGTGACCAGTGAAGCTCAGGTCTGAATCAATTATGTCACCACTTAAAGTTCTCACATCAGTTGCTGGGCCTCACTCTTGTGCCAGTAGAATTCTGAAATATAAAATCAGAAAGTGTCAGAGATCTGAGAGTGCTATGAAGGTTTCGGCAACCAAAATTGTGATTAAATAAAGACAAAAAATCAGGCTTTCTGGAAGTGAGACTGGTGTAAACTGCATTTATTCAATTACGCATAAAATTAAGATATATCATTAACAATTTAAAGCATAATTGAATAACTGTGTGACTAATTGTTTTGAAAACATGGGCATAATTGTTACAGTTATGGTTTTGACATGATTATTGATGGTCACAAAGCAGTGAATGCAACTGAAAAACTGCATATTTTCTACAAATATTCACCAACAGTTGCAACTGAAATAAATATTGGTTTTAATATTATTTTAATATATTTTTATGTTTTTCATCATTAGTTTTATCATAATGCATTTTATGCTGAGTCATAAGCATGGAAATAATTAAGGATCAGCAGTTAAATCAGCCTAGATAGATTATCTAAATCTAATCCAGAGTTATTTGACCTGAGAGACTCACTACAAAAAACAAGATTTGCCTTTCTGAAGAGCTAGTTCTTTTTTTAATGAATCAAATTTTAAAAATTTGGACCAATGCTTGATTTTTAATTCTGTTTTTACTTATCTAAATAATTTCAGTAACTGTTGTTGCACCATAAATGCTGAGGTTTATCATACAATATGAGGAAGTTGATACACCGCTTTAACATTGAATTTTTGCTTTTACCTCAGCGTGTGTGTCTTGGGAAACCGAACCTTGGTGTGGAAGAACTTCGATGTTTGTGCCAAAACCATAGAGACCGCCAATGCGACGGTCACCACCCAGCTGTGGCGCATGTTCTGTGACTCACCTTTCCTCAACGCAACCTGTGACAAATACTTTATGTCTAACAACGTGACTCAGATCCAGGGCATTCCTGGGATCACCAGCGGAATCTTGGCAGGTTGGTCCAATTGCTTTGGATCTCTTAATGTGTTCTTCTTCAGGAAGTGAACAGGTTTTGGTTGGCTAAGCTTTTTGTTGTCTTTACAGAATTTAGTGTTCAACACTTCTATTACAGAAGGTCCACAGGCAGTTTGACCCTACTTCACGCTGATATTTAACAATAAAACCCTGAGAAACTAATTAACATTTGGACAAACCCAAAGATTAATATGGGGTCCTTTGAATTTTTTCCATTTTGGAAGCATTTGTGACTTTCAGTTTTAAGTCTTTGAGTCAGAGCAGATCTAATGTGACCTTTTAAAGGGATACTAAGCAGTTTTGCTTTTAGCAACCCCAGTAGGGCTGAATGATTAAGATTGAATTGCAATTTTACTAGGATAAATTGGACAGTCGATTCCATTCACGATTTTCTTAAAATGAGGGTTCAACACATTATTCACAATATAGTTATATAAATCACGCCATAAAACATTAAAAGCTATTCATTTTCTCATATTGTTATCTTGTTAAATGTTTTTTTTCTTGTGTAGCAACTTGTGATTTTTATCTAAGGCGGATTTGAAAAAAGAACCATCTGATTACTGGACAGACAGACTCCCTCCTGAGCTACTGCTGATGCATGAACTATTAGTGCAGAATAACTTAGTCCAGGTTTGAAGAGTCTCAGTATTGTCAATTTATAATTAGAACAGAGTAAAGATGCTCAGGGAGTGCAAATATTTGTTAGAATTGCCCTTTCTGACTCTGAAACTAAAAGAGTTTTAACCAACTTCAGCTTCATCTTGTATACATTTTTTATTTTTTTCAATTGCTTTTTGTAATAAATTAATCTCTTGTTCTAGGTGTAAATAAATACATAATCACATCAACAAGCAACCTGGCTTGATCCATAACCAGGAACAGTGCACATAACTCTAACAACTGAATTGGCTCCAGTATCAAATGTTGATTTGCACAAACAAGATGTTTGAAGTCACAGAGGCTGCAGTTCTGTTGTGTGAGCAGAAGCGAGCTTGTATTGAGCGTGCGTATTTTAGCTGCTTGAGCAGGAAACGCATTTCAACAACAGAACAGACCAGAATACTGGCGTAACACCGGTGATCAAAGGTGCGGTCCCTCTCCTGTTAAAGCGAGAGAAACACGAAGGGCATGTGTTTTCGTCGGACAATATTAAAACACATTGGTAATGTCTGACATGTTTTCACAAACAGCGTTTTTTTTTAAAGAAGAGAAGTTGTGCTTTCACATCCAGTTTGTGTTATGATAAGCCTTGTTCTGCTGCTGGAGAATCAGCCTTTCTCTCTCTCTCTCTGTCTCTCGCTCTCTCTGTCACTCATCCACAGTGTTGAGAGACAAACAGAACATTCGCAGCAGCGACAGACGGTCACATTTACTATCAGCTGTAGTTGCAGAGCTATGTAAGGGGAAAAAATGGGAAAATAATGTGCCGCTCTGTCAGCTGGACTCAGCTCTATACCGGTATTCCCCCTCCCTCCTCCAGCAGTCTGCTGCCGCTGTAACACAGGCAGAAAACCCTGGATGTCTAAAATAGTTGACAACAGATCCTGGGTCAGTCAGGAATGCTTCAAAAAACCGCAGCTTTGACAATCATGTGATTGTGTTCGAAATTGCAATTTCAGTTCAAAAACAATAGATTGTTCATCCCTAACCCCTATTGTCAATTATGAATTCACTGTGGTTAAACTGAAAATGAAACGTATCTCCTCACTGTGCGTTAGTCTTTATAACACCTTAATCTTACAGCTGAATTGTCTCCTCAGCCTTCATTAGTTTCTAGAGAAGTGATTCATCACTAACTCAAACAAATCAGCTGTGTTCATGATCTAAAACATGCAGGAAACGTACTGGAAGCGGACTCCAGCTCCACCATGTCAGCTCCATCCCACTCCACAGCTTCCTCTACCAGCAGGGAGCAGCCCGCCAACTCTGAAGTTCCAAGACATTTCATTAACCTTGTTAAAGCTCATGTTAGCACATACTGGCTCAAGACAATTATTTAAAAATATGAAAATTTTGCATCTTAATCAAACTGCTGAAAAGCCTTCATTACTTTTTACAGGAGTGGTTACTCTCTAAATTAAACAAATTAGCTGTGGTCATGATCTAAAACATGCAGGAATCATGCTGGAAGAAAACTCCAGTATGTAAACTCCTTTTTACTAAGTCCAACAGGGACCAGAATGGCACTCTGAAGTTGCAAGAGCAATATTTTGGCAACAGAAGGCAGTAAGTTCTGAGTGACATTTCTTTAACCCTGTAAAAGGTCGTTTTAGCACATACTGGCTCAAGAAATTGATTGAAAAATATGAAAAAGTGCATAGTATCATTAGTATGCCTTAACTCAGAGATCAATAACAACTCTAAATGTTACAGTCAATACCTTTTAAAACTGAGTAGATCATTAATCATTGTATCATTTTATTGATGGACAAAAAATGTTTACATTAAATTTTATAGACGCACAACATTTTATGAAGATGGTTTTACAGTAAAACCATCATTTGATTTGTGTGCAAATCTTGCACATTGAATTGCCTCTGTGTATAAAATGTGCTATATAAATAAAGCTGCCTTGTCTTTGCCACAAGAAGCAGAAACCTTCTTAGTGCAAGAAGACAACACACATACCCTAAATGTGTCAGTAGTTTTCAGACTTTCCAACAAAATAGTCAGAGCCTCTATGGGATCTATTTTTAGCTGATGACCGTTATTGGGAATTCATTTAAACATTAATTAGTCATATAATTTATTTCTTAAAGTACCAAACTGTCTTCTTTCCTAAATAGTGTAGAATGTTCCTTAGGGAGACACAGGTTCCTCTCTCCATTCCATTCAGTCCGTTTGCTCCTGTGAAACGACTCACTGGGGCTGCATCAGGCTTTGTTTAAACCTGCGAGGCTGAACGTCAAACCACATGGGTTTGACCCTCCCACCTGTAAATAAAGACTATTATTGGACAGAGCTGCTTCTCAAGAGTACAGCCAGACAATGTCCTCAAGTGTTGTCACTGACCAATCACAAACAGAGGAGTGATCAAATGTCCAGTTTTTGTATTTGGAGTAAGATTTGTTTGCGCTGCATGAGTGTGTGGAAAAAAATAACAAATGCGTAAAGCATGGAGACATGAGCAGGTCAAGTATGTTAGAATTATGTTAAAATGAACCACACAGAAGTTTGAACATGGCTCAGTAATACAAATGTAAATTGTACCTAGCTGATTCAATGTCATTATTCTCTACAATTTATTGTCATTGTCAACCCAGACAACCTCTTTGGCAACTATTATGAGAAGGGGGACCTGATTGCCAGAGGTTCTATGGAGTCAGTGGAAGACCATGACGACCCTCTGACCAGTGCTAACCGCTACGTGTTAGCTGACATCACCAGCTTCTTCACATTGCTGGTTGGCATCTACTTCCCATCAGTGACAGGTGAATATTGTTATTTTTATAATTGTTTTCACCAGTTTGTCATATTCTAATGAAGAATCTTACTGTCATATATCTATCTATCTATCTATCTATATCTATCTATCTATCTATCTATCTCTCTCTCTCTCTCTCTCTCTCTCTCTATATATATATATATATATATATATATATATATATATATATATATATATATATATATATATATATATATATATTGACTTAGTTGAATACAGACATCTCATTAAAAAGCAGGTGCAAAGTACATTCTTTTCTGGTCTTTTAGGGGCTTTTTCGGCAAGTTTAGTTCGTGGGCTCTTATTCGCTTTTTTCGTTGGATCTTTTTTTTGTTTGTTTTTTTAAACTGTGAAGGGTGTTGTAGCTTCTCCATGATTCTCAGTGTCCTTGCTGTCTTGTAAACAAATCAAGAATGCCTTTCAGTCTAGGACGTATGCAAACGTGCGCGCTTGTGAATGACATTTGTACATAAGCAGATGTCTAATGTCTAACAGATGCTGAGTGACAGTCAGGTAAAATTGCATAGGGCTCTATGGGATGGGGGCAAGCTTGGCAAAAAATGTGTATTCCTGTATCACAGAATAGGGAAGATTGTCACTTTAACAAATTTCTGAAAGAATGTACATAATTCCTGAAAAGGGCAAAAACTCCAGATAGTAGCTTTAACTTGTGCACGTACTTGAATCGGCTGAACAGAGACTGTGTTTCTTTGTGAAGAAATCTTAAATCTGTTTTTCACTTCCCATCAGGAATCATGGCGGGATCCAACCGCTCTGGAGACCTGCGTGATGCTCAAAAGTCCATCCCTATTGGAACCATTGCAGCCATCACCACCACCTCCTTAGTCTGTATCCTCTCACTAATGCTGCCTAGGGATATCTGGGCACCACTGGATGCACAGATCTGTAAATAAGACAATTAAAATAAATAGACTGAATTTAGAGTCATTTAATCTCATATCAAGAACTATGATCAGATCAATGACTTTGTTCTTTTTTTACACAGCTTAATAAAAAATAAGTTTTTTACCTTACATGTTTCGACTAGTAACTATCCATCATCAGAGTTAGCCGGTGTTGGTGGTGTCACGGCTAACTCTGATGATGGCTAGAGTTACTAGTCAAAACATGTAAGGTAAAAAAAATGATGGTGAAAATCTAGGATTTGAAAAGCCTGAAAGATGAACATCACACTGCCACTAAACATTCATGGACTCACCGATATTGACTCACAACGAGAAAGGCTGTTGCTGTTTGAGCATCCAGGAAACAGCTGGGAGCATCTCAGCTAGTAGAAGCTAACTATTAGCAATTACCAGAAGTCCTCCAAGCTTGTGTTATTTATGGAGATAAAACATCAACAGAGTCAGTGATGGTCATGTTGCTTTTAGCCAGTCAGAGATGTCCAAATATCAGGAAACAAGACTCCAGATCCTGTCATCTGAAACTCAGCTCTGATCTGGCTCCCTTCTAGTTCCTGAAACAGGTGCACCAGAGCTTTTCCGCCTGATTACAACTTACAAGGCATTCATTCCTACTAGAGACCACTGCAAATGTATCGACTAAACAAGTGTTCCACACCTTTAAAAGTCAGCTTTTGAAAATTGGACAGCCATTACTGTGATGACTGTTTTAGTTTGGTTTCAAAATTGGTCTCTTTTTAGAATTGGGTTCATCCCAGTATTTCCCAATTAGTTGATTTTATCCATTATGATTTAAAATTTTCTTGTTGCATTTTTTATATATTGATTGCTTTTATCCATCCCTTTAAAGTTTACTATACTGAAGTAGCAAAAGAATAAGCCTCCGTGTTTCTCTAAATAATCAGCTTGTAGTCTACACAAATGTGATTAGGACTTCTAATCACATCATCTGGCTGCCTATGCAAGAGTAAGTTAATAAACCTGAAGGATATTTGATCTAATTGCACTGATCCCTGATATATATCGTCCTAAACAATATTGATTTGTGTCCTTTTCCCAGCAAATATTCATAACCTAATTATAAGAGAATTAAATGCATCTTTCGAAGGAACGGGTTTAACTTTTCTAACTGACTCCTTTTAGTAATTAAATCACATTTTAACTTGGAAAATTTTCTGTCCACCGTCTGAAGAGACAAATCAACTGGCTTAACGTAATTACGCTCCTGATGCTTAATTTCTCAGACATGTCCAGTGTGATTCTGTTTGGTGCCTGCATTGAGGGGGTGGTCCTCAGGGACAAGTAAGTCAACCCGTGCTGTTCTGAGACAATTTGAGAAAAACAAATGCTTGTACATTTATTTAAATGATTCCAGCGCTGTTTTATTTTAGGTTTGGAGAGGGAGTTCATGGGAATTTGGTGATTGGAACGTTGGCTTGGCCATCGCCGTGGGTGATCGTGATTGGTTCTTTCTTCTCTACATGTGGGGCGGGGCTCCAGAGCCTGACAGGTGCTCCCCGTCTCCTGCAGGCCATCGCCAAGGACGGCATCGTGCCCGCCCTTCGAGTCAGTGTCTGTTAAATGGCCTGGATGCACTTCACGTTTTGATCCCAGAACAGCACTTGTGGTGACACACTTTCTGTGTTGGTCCTCCAGATCTTTGGCCATGGAAAGGCCAATGGAGAGCCAACATGGTCTCTCCTACTGACAGCCTGCATCTGTGAAACCGGCATCCTCATAGCCTCCCTGGATTCTGTGGCTCCCATCCTCTCCATGTGAGAACTAGAAAATCAAATACTTTTTTTTTGTGCGGGAGCTCTGAGCAGACAATCCCCTGATATGTTCTTAATTAAAAATTTCCAAATATATTAGCTCAGTTTCTTTTCTCACCCCCACACAGGGACAGATCACTTTTCTGTAAAGTAACACTTTGAATTGAATTTTGATTAATAACATTATGTCACATCACGTAACAGGAGCTGTGGGGTTAATTGTGTGATTGTGTATCCTGCAGGTTCTTCCTGATGTGCTACATGTTTGTGAATCTGGCCTGTGCTGTGCAGACGCTGCTGAGGACTCCTAACTGGAGACCACGTTTCAAGTTCTATCACTGGTCAGTTCCTCAGCAAGAAAGTCAGAATCCTAAATATTCTGTGTTGCTTTCTGTGTGGTTAACTTTTCACACTGCTCCATAGGACTTTGTCCTTCCTGGGGATGAGCTTGTGCCTCACTCTTATGTTCCTCTGCTCCTGGTACTACGCCATTGTTGCTATGGTGATTGCCGGCTCCATCTACAAGTACATCGAGTTTGCAGGGTGAGTGCAGCGCAACGCAGGGCTGCATTTGTGTCGCGTGTCATTGCCTTACTAAAATGGCATGTCTCCATACCTACACAACCTTTGCTGTTAGGTCTTTTTTGGAGAAAAATTGCATGTTTTGGTTTTAGATCCACTAGAAGAGGCTTTTATTAGTTCCTTTCATTTAAAAGTGTGAATTTATTGTTCAAATGAGTCATGATTTTCCCTCAAACTACAGTTATTGACTAATTACAATATACTTGAAATATTGATGCCTTGAAGTAAAAAAGAAAAAACACTATTTCAAATACTCATTTTGCCTTATATTGTGGAGATAAAACATCAACATTGCAAAGGAAACAAAGTCAGTGGTAGAGCCGCGCTGTTGTTAGCCAATCAGAGGCGAGATGTTCAAATATCAGGAAATCTCTCTGGCTGAATTCTCCATGCTGAAACTGGCGCAAATGAGCTTCTTTCCCCAAAGTTTGACTTACAAGGCATTCGTTACTGCTAGAGATGTGACTGCAAATGTCTTAAAAACATGAGTTAAGTTCATCCTTAACAAAAAAAAAAGATGTCATACCACCCTCTCAAGGACTTTTCCACCCCTAATACTGATTTTCATGCCTCAAAAGTCAAATTAGTAAATAACCTGTGCTTATAATAAAGTTCAGTGTACCTGCAGGTTTAGGGGAGCCAAATTAAGACCTTTTTAAGGCCACTTTGACCAAATTTAAGCAATTTTTTTAAATTAAATTTAAGCTATAATTTCCAGCTATTGCCTGGAACTGGTACTAACCACGTCACGAACGTAGGATTAGCCATCCAGTTACCATTAAACTTGCACTTCCCCATGGCGCAAGCTCCCACTAGCTTAACCAGCTAATGTGCTCATCTAAAAATAGCCCCCTTTCACAACCAACTGAATGTGTACGGTTCCGCTTACGCCAACATCATACACAAAAAATGCTGAACCCCAACTAGAAATGCACAAAGGTTTTATAGAAATAAAAGAATCTTGTTTATTGGGTCTTTGGTTTAAGACCTTTGGAAACTGTATTTAAGGATTATTAGTCATTTTTAAGGATTTTTAAGGCCTTAAATTTGGAAAAGCAAATTTAAAACTTTTTAAGACTTTTCAAGGACCCGCAGATACCCTGAAAGTTGTACAGTTAAACAGAAGGCTGTTAAGTGTTTTGATTCTGATCTTTTTTTTAGTTAAGGGAACCATTTTCAGTGGGTTGACAATATTGTAAAGCCTGTGTGTGTGTGTGTGTGTGTGTGTGTGTGTGTGTGTGTGTGTGTGTGTGTGTGTGTGTGTGTGTGTGCGTGTGTGCGTGCGTGCGTGCGTGCGTGCGTGTGTGTGTGTCACAGTGCGGAGAAAGAATGGGGTGATGGGATACGAGGTTTGTCTCTGAGTGCGGCGCGTTACGCTCTCATGCGGCTGGAGGAAGGTCCTCCACACACCAAGAACTGGAGGTACGACACTCACACTAACACACCCTGTTATTGATGTGTTTTTTTTTTCATGTTTCTAATTAACATGTAAATTAACAACATGTCTGTGCATGTTCAGTCATGGCTGTCAAACAACAATAAGTGTTTGTGAATCCATATTAACACATGAATCATTCATGCTCTGCCTTGCTTTCTCAAGGAGGACCTAAACCTGTCAGAGATCACTTCCTTTTAACTTTTCTTTATTTTCTTCTTTGTTTCACTTCTTCTGCTCTCTGTGCCTCCCTCCTTTCAGGCCACAGCTGCTGGTGCTGGTTAGCACAGATGCAGAGCAGAATGTGGAGCAGCCTCGTCTTCTGTCTCTGACCAACCAGCTGAAGGCTGGAAAAGGTCTCACCATAGTTGGAACGGCTCTGGAGGGCACCTATCTGGCAAACCATGAACAGGCCCAGCGTGCAGAGCAGGCAGGGAGCTCTTCTCACACTCATAACAGTCTTGACTAAAGGTCGACCGATGTTGGTTTTTCTATTGCCAATGCCGATGCCAATATGTATAGGTCATGGTCAGCTGAGGGCCGATTTGTGCTGTCAACATTTTGGGCCAAATTTCAGCTTTTAAATCCTAATTTTGTGCACTGCTCAGTGTTAAAATCAGACATCTACCTAAAGGCAATCATACACATCAGTAAAGTGACCAGGTATTAAATAAACAAAACTGGTAAAGAAAAATAAATTTTTATTGGAAAAAAAAATTTGAAAATTTACTAAAGCCGATGTTATTCAGGAACGTTAAAATACACATAAATTAAATTCTGCAGCAGCACTGGGCAGCCCGGGGATATGCCTGACTTTAAATCGGCTTTACTAAGACGGTATAATGGCCAATGCCAATATATATATATATATATATATATATATATATATATATATATATATATATATATGTAAATGATGGGTAGTTTACATCTTACTTATGAACCATAAAATGTGAGATTTCATAGAAATATGAAATATCAATCTGATGGATCTTTGAATATTTTAACCAGAAGATCAGAACTTTTTATTGCAGGGATGAAGTGACACTTCGTATTAACTCCAAGGAAAGAGAGAGTGTCAGGTTTAAAATAGTTAAGAAATGTATTTCTACACAATTTAAACAAGACTAACTTTAACACTATGTGTACTGATGGACTAAGGTGGAGTGAGACGTGAGATGAATGATGGTGTGTGTGAGTGGAATGTTATTATCAGAACCAGTGAATCCGGAGAAGCATTTAGTTCTGATTGGGAGTGAATGTTTTGCTCTAAACTTTAGTAGGAGATTTATAACACACATGAAACGCCATCTGTTGGTCTACGTACCCCAGGGGAAGCCTCAGATTAGATCCAGAATGTTGAGGTCCTCTTGGACCCTCCTTGGAACCGAAGCCGGTAGAAAAGCAACTGTGCCGACCAAACTAGTCTTGGAATGCTTCCAGGTCACGACAGGTTCATTGGCGTCAGTGAGACCCTGAAGGGGTCGTGAGGTTCCGCTTTTATTCTGAAGGAACCATTGCGGTCAGGTGTAACTTGCAACAGATTTTATCCAGCTTTTCGAGGTTCTTTTGGCTGAAGAGGAGGTCCGGATGGCATTGTCATGGTCCGTGTCTGCGTCTCACCTTATGTGTCTCCTGGTGTTCCCCATTTGCCCTCTAGGTTTCCCTCCTCAGACTTCCCTCTCCCAGGTCCTGTGCTCTCTTGGCCCCCTCTTAGCCATGCCCCTGTAGTTTTTCTCTGTAGTGTTTTCCTTAAGTGTCAGCTTCCCCTTAGAATATTAGTTATGGTTCATGCCTTCTGGTCTTTTGTTTTTCTCTAGGGTCATTTTCCTTTGTTACAGCCTTTCAGTATTTAGTGTTTTTCCCACCAGTGTTTTCTTCCTCCTCCCTGAGTTAGTAATTGTGTTCACCTGGTCCCTCTCCCCACACACCTGCAATTCATCTCCCTCTCATCTTCCCAGTCTATTTAAGCCCTGTCTTGTCTCTGTGAGGTTGTAGGTCCATTGTATTTCTGTCAGCGTTTGTTCGTGCTCTTAGTGAGGTTTTTGTCTCAAGGTTTTTGGTGCTCTAAGAGAGCTTTGGGTGTCCTGTGCTCCAGGAATTTTGGACTTTTGGCTTGCTGCCTTGGATTAATTTTTGTTCTTTCATCCTGTAAATAAAAGGAATTTTACTTTGAATCAACTTGTGCCTCCTGTCGTCTGGGTAATCTGCATTTTGGGTCCTAAACATCTCCTCAACGTGACAGGCCTGTCCGAGACTTCTCTAGAACGCTTTGAACTAAAGAAAAGGTGGCATGGAATAGTTTTTATAATTGTCATATTTTGGTTTACTGGCGAATCAGAATTTGACATGCAAAAGAGGGTTTATACAAACACCACAGATAACCATGCCTCGTGTCAGAAATTAAGGTTCTGATTGGATCAGACAAAAGGAAATGTGCTGTGTGAATTTAGCATTGCGTATCATCAGTGTCTAGTGCAAATGTCCAGGATTATAATTACTTGTAAAATACTACTGATCACAGGAGTATAATATCAAGTAATAACATTGTCATTTCACAGATTGATTGAACATTGGGCTCACATTATTATTGGTAATAACAAAGTTGTTTGATTATGTATTTATCAAAAGAGAGTTCTTCGTCTTCACTGTAACAGAGGTGAAGCAGTTCAGATGAGCAGAGTGCATGAAAGACCTTGGCCAATATCTCATGTAGATTAGGCCTGTGTCAGAGACTTTATGTCTCTGCTCAAGCAGACGCAGCAGATCATGGCCTTCAGGTCAAAAACAGGACATTCATGACGCTGTATATATATATATATATATATATATATATATATATATATATAACATGGCAAATACTGGCCCCATATATCAGTCTACCAATATATCTGTCTACCCTGAGTCTGACAAGTGAATTTATCAAAATACTCAAATAATTGTCCAGTTTTTGATGATCATAAGTAAATTTTACTTAGTCCACGATAATCAGAATTAGGCCATATTTATTCAGTGGGTGGCCACTTTAGATATTTTATTATCCTTTGGTCTTCCAACAGTCAAATCATTCTAATAAATTAAAGCAAACTTTTGTTTATTTTCATTGTTATTTGAATTTAGTAATTTTTTAAACTTTTATAAATCATTTTGGTTGTGTTTTCCAGGCACTACGTAAACTGATGGAGACTGAGAAAGTAAAGGGCTTCTGTCAGGTGACCGTGTCCTCAAACCTCCGTGACGCCACATCCCACTTGCTCCAGGCCAGTGGGCTGGGAGGCCTGAAGCATAACGCTGTACTGGTCTCATGGCCGCGTAACTGGAAGCAAGGAGACGACCACCAGACCTGGAGGAACTTCATTGGTGTGTTTGCTGGGAAAGAAAAGTAGAAATACTTTGATTCATTTTCAACTAAACTGCTTAGCAGGTGTTAACACGTTTGAGGTGAAAACAGCAGGGTTTGCACATCTGCAGAGTTTTTAAAAGCATAGCCTGCTGTTGAATCTCTCTGTCGAGGAAAAAAAATCCTCAAAATCCTACATTCCATTTTGAACAGATTATATGCTAAAAAAAAAATCCACCAGAAGCAAACAAATAAAAAACTTTTTGAAAAGGACTTGAAAGTGGCGAATGCACGGCTGAGTAAGATCTTAGATCAACAAACTCTATTGTGGAAGGAGGTTTTTGGTGTTGAACAATTAAATAACAGCCTCTTTCTGTTTGTTTGTTTGTTTGTTTGTTTGTTTGTTTGCAGAGTTGGTCAGAGAGACCACCACAGCTCGCCTCGCTCTGCTTGTGCCAAAGAACATCTCAGCCTACCCGTCTAATGGCGAGCGCTTCACCGAGGGTCACATCGATGTGTGGTGGATCGTCCATGATGGAGGCATGCTGATGCTTCTGCCCTTCCTTCTCCGCCAGCACAAGGTATCGGGGATTACCACAAAAATAAATAAATAAATAAAATAAAATAAAATAAAATATTTTTAGCACCCAAAAACATTAAAGTAAAACTCATTATAAGTTAGAATATTATGATTTTGTCAATTAACCCACATGGACTTGTCAGGTTTCTAGTGACAAAATCTTTTTGTAGGTCTGGAGGAAGTGCAAGATGCGCATCTTCACAGTGGCCCAGATGGACGACAACAGCATCCAGATGAAAAAAGACCTGACCACGTTCCTGTATCATCTCCGTATCGATGCAATGGTGGAAGTTGTAGAAATGGTGGGTTTTCCTGAAAGATGACTCACAGCTGCATGATTAAAATTAGATTCATACCCTGTTTGAGTGCATTCATAAACACTTTAATGTCAGAATCACTCAGCTGAGGAAATAATTAGAGTATGCAGCAATGCCTCAGGCTTGGACAGTTGCTTTGGTAAACACAACTTGCAATTTTTTTTTACACACAGGAAGGAAAATTAGTCCTGTGTGCTTCTCAATTGAAGCATAATAAATTACCTAAGGGACACCATGAACTACAGTGTGTTAAAGCATCAGAATGATTCATACAGGGCTTGTGAGATGATCCAACAGTGCCTAAAACATCTTTAAATTTAGGGCTGCTGACAAATACTCTAATGTGCCAAAGCCTACAATTGGATGTTTTGCAGCAGAGGATTAGTAATGAGCACAAAATGTCTCATATCTTACTTGAGTGCCATGTCTTCCCCTTTAGCATGACAGTGACATCTCAGCCTACACCTACGAGAAGACTCTGGTGATGGAACAACGGTCGCAGATGCTGAAGCAGATCAATCTGACCAAGAACGAAAGAGAACGAGAGGTTTGTTGAAGTGTGTTCATGTTGGAATTTTTGTTTTCTGATGTGATCAAAGACACAAGAACAAACTTGATATGACCTGACATTCTGGCTTGGCTTTGCTTGATCTGGCGTAGCATGACACACGACCCCCTCTGGGTAAAAAGCATATCTACGGTTAAATCAGAGCAGTAGGTCACCATATTTATCGTCTTTGACAACAGCTAGTACAACATGTGCTTTGGTCTGGTGTGCAACAGAAATAATAATACAGCAATGCACCTGTTAAATGTCCTAAAAATAAATAAATAAATAAATAACAAATGGATATTTCTACATTCCTCTCATCTTTACCATCACAGATCCAGAGCATCACTGATTCATCCCGTGGATCTATCCGCCGTAAGAACCCGGCCGCTGTGACCACCCAGCTGAGTGTGACCGAGGACCCGCCTGCAGCCGGCAAAGAGGAGAAGCCTGAAGAGGAGGTAGAGTTCACCAAGAGGGCTCAGCTAACACTGCTGGTGGTGTAAAGATTAGTTTCTGGTGGCACAAAGAGAGCCGTTGGACTAAAGTGGGTCTTTACAAAGCAAGTTCACTGAGAAGCTGTTTTTAAACCCAACCCTAACCCTTTTTAAACACAATCAATCACTCTGAGTTTCACATGCAGGCTGAACGTTAAAATATTCTTCTACCCCCATTTCCTGCATTAGCTGCTGAAATAAAATAGACAGGGAAATGCTCGTATCAGAAAAAGCTATACAGATCTACATCACACTGTAAATTAGCATTCATGGACTCACCCATCTTGGCTCTGGACCAGGGAAGGTTGTGTTTATTTAGCATCCGGGAGAGAGTAGAGCATGTCTTGGCTAGTAAAAGCTAGAAGAAGAAGAAGAAGAAGAAGAAGGAGAAGGAGAAGAAGAAGGAGGAGGAGGAGAAGAAGGAGGAGGAGAAGAAGGAGGAGAAGAAGGAGAAGAAGGAGAAGATCATTTCTATAATGCCTCTCAAGATAAAAATCACGAGGCGCTTCACAAAAACAAAAAATGTAAAATATAAAAAGAATTTAGAAAATGATTAAAAATATGTTTAAAATTAGCAAAAATAGACTATTGTGATTAAAGAATGTAAAGAAAGAGAGAGTGAATAGGAAAGAGGGAAATCAGTGGATGCTGAGGAAGGTGGAATAGGTGGGGGAGAAGAATAAGGAGAGAGTGGTGAAGAGGGTCATACAAAAGCCAGCCTGAACAGGTGAGTTTTCTGCTGTTTTTTAAAGGAGACCACTGAGTCCACTGATCTCAGGCTCAGGGGGACAGAGTTCCAGAGTCTGGAGACCTCAGCTAGCCATTAGCATTAGTAACTTAGAACATGGCAGACCTTCAGGCTTGTGTTATTTCTGGAGATTAAACTTCAACGTTGCAGAGCGAATGGAGGCAGTGGAAGAGTCATGCTGCTGTTAGCCAATCAGAGGTGAGATGTCCAAAAATCATGAATACTAATGAGACAGACTCCAAATCCCACCATTTTCTGCCCGCTGCTGCTACAGCTAACTTCTACTTCCTGAAACAGGAGCACAAGTGCTTTTTATCTACAGGGAACAACTCACAACATACCTTTCTACTAGACTACTGCAGTTGTTTGACAAAATGATTGAATGAGAGCTTAAACTGAGCTGTGATATGGTTTTACATTTTGAAATTCAGTTTTAATGTTGTTTTTATTTTCTAAAGGGATGCACATTCAAACAAAGTTGTTTATTTACAAATTACAACTTTCTTTCCTCCCCTCTCTCAAACACTGTGGCTCTCTGTGACTCTTACCTGCATTTCCACGTCAACTGTGGCTCTTTCCTGTTAACATACATGTAAATCCACATTCGTCCTCTTCTCCTCTCGTCTCATAGTCAAAGTCGGCCTCTTCCCCTGTGCCCCCCCCTACTCAGGTCCAACTCATCCACGACAACACCACCCCAGCCACCCCACTGACCCCAGGAGAAGAGGCTCAGAGCCCTGGAGAGCAGATCCAGAGGACCTGGACTGAGAAGTGTGACGGCGAGCCAGCAAAGCCTCTTGGAGCTGTCACACCAGAGGACATCAAAGATATCTTCAACATGAAGCCGTGAGTGCCTCACAACACAAAAGTTTCCTCCAACTAATGCTGCCAAGACACAAGCGATTTAGATTTTGTTTTTTTCTCTGAAAATGACACATTTCTCTTATTATTTTGCTGCAGTGAGTGGGAAAACCTGTAAGTACTGAAGTCCTCATTAACTTCATTTATTCCATTTCTTCATCCGTGCTGATCAAGTCAGGCACATTGAAAAAAAAATGCATAAATGAGCATCTGTCTTCTTAATCAGACCTGAACCATTTAGTTTTGCTCTCAAAAATGTCAACTGCTGTTTTGTCCTCACTCAGGAACCAGTCCAACGTGCGGCGCATGCACACAGCACTCCGGCTGAATGAAGTCATTCTTAAAAAGTCCTCAGAGGCCAAACTAGTCCTACTCAACATGCCAGGCGCTCCCAGAAACCGGACAGGTGATGAGAACTGTATCCTTCATCCGGACAGAAGTAGGTTTACTGAGAGGACTCTCTAATGTGTAAGTCGCTGCGTCACCTTCCTTTCCCAGCACAGGTAATCAGCTTCGACACCAGTGTCACTTGGATTTGGATCTGGCCCGCTGTTTCAGTCGCAGGACTTATCCTGTTTAGGCGACACACAAATCCCCTCAAATATTTATAAAAAGAATCCTACAGACTACACCAAATGATTGTTGTCTTTATATATATATATTTTTTACTGAGTGTGAAAATGAGAAATAATTTAACCTTTTAAAAGTAAATCTTTATGCTTAACTCATAACCATGTGCAAAGGATTCAATGATTTTCACAGCAGCTCTCTTTGCAGAGTTCTCTAATTCAACTACAAAGAGGTAAATATCAGGGGAAAGCTATAAAACATTTCTATTGCTCTGAGTGAACCCAAAAGCCCAGTGGTACTATTGATTGTGGGGAAGAAACAAAGAATAATGACACCAGCAGGACTATCCCAAGAGTGGCTGTCAAATACTTCTTTGCTCCATTGTAGACATTCTTTCAATGAGTTTCATTCAAATTCCTCAAGTGTTTCATGAAATGTACTAACAGCTCTCAGACTGTGTTTCAGGAATGACTCTTGGCTACTATCACACAAAGTTGTAGCTCAATATCTATGAAAGAGTTTTTGCTCATTTTGCTAGTTTACTAGAGTTGATCAGGTCATCTTCAGACATGTTATTTAGTAGTAGGTGTACTACTAATGATAACTTTCCATGGGTTTAATTCAAATTTAAGCCAACAAACAATTTAGCACATACACAGATGGGCAAAAACATTATGACCCTTTTTTTATTGTATCATATGCTCTGATTTCTTCCTGCAGTTTCTTTAACTTTTCCCTCACAGACATGGAGTTCCTCGAGGTTCTCACTGAAGGTCTCAACCGGGTCCTCCTGGTCCGCGGAGGAGGCCGTGAGGTTATCACCATTTATTCCTGAAAGAGCAGCCCCCTCCTCCCAGATCGACACCCACCCACCCACCCCCATCCCCCACCCCATGGTCCTCTTCCTGTGTCAGTTGTATTCTCCCCTCTTCATCAATGCTGCTTCATTATCAGGTCATGTATATTTCTGGGAAGCATTCCTCTCACACCCAACAAACAGCCCAGCTCAGCTTCAGTGGCTCTCCCTCCGCAGCAGAAAAGCCAAACCAAGCCCTTCTCTGTAGTTCAATAGCCTTTCTCGTTCTAATTTTCCTTTTCAGTTTCTCTGGAATCTGCCGTAGTAACGTGGTCAGGAGGAGGTCTGTTAATGAGCGCGCAGGTTCTTCGCTGAGGTGTGAGAGCACATGCATGTGTGTGTCAATGTTTTACTCAGCAGTGTTTTTTTTTTTTCTAAACACAAATGTGACCGATGCAGCTTTCACTGGATTTGTTTGAGAGCCAGCTGAAATGAGCTCAGCGTAGGACCGTCACGTTTAGTCCCCTCGTGGTGGTCGGACCGTTCCCGCCGCCTGTTCCCTCTGCTGTGAATTATCGTTTGTGACAAAAGACTCTGCAGCCCACAGTCGAGACCTTTGGAAGGAGGAGAGGATGGATATGAACTGTGAACTTCACACGGATGTGAGACTGAAACTTGGGTGTAACCTGCAGAGTTGTCTCTAAGCAGATCGCTGCAGCATGACATTCTCAACAACTGTGTGTGTGTTTTTGCTCCACTTGTTCTGTTACTGCCAACCCCCATCCCACTTCACCCCCTCCACACACACTCCTTTCTGCTCATTTCTTAGTGGCTGGTTGTTTCTGAGGCCAAAGTTAGTGCCAAAAAAGAAGAGACGAGGCTTGATTATCGAGATTGACATGAAATTAAACTGTGAATAGTTTCATAGCAGAACGCTGCGGTGACAGCGGAGTGGGGAGTCGGTACAACTTCCCCCCTCTCCTGAGGAGACTATCGTTGCCAGCACCTCTTGACCCTCATGTGTGTGACTCACTGTAAATAATGTACAAGCTCTGGCGCGTTGTTGGTTTGAGTGTAGTATTTTTGTGAGAAACTAAACAGCTTGTTAGTGGCGACAAATGGGTCCTTCGCTCATAAATCCAAACTCAAACGCTGTTTTTACAAAAAAAAATATTTATTTAAACTATTTATTGGCTCCTGTCACTACGGTAATGATCAACGTAACAACGGCAAAGGAAAGCACCATGCACTCTTCATCACTGTGCGACAAGTGAGTTTGATGATTTCATCAAATTGATTTTAAAGAGAAAAAAAAGGCTAAATGTTATTTTTTCATCCAGAGAACAAATAGTTATTCATGTTTATACACAGAAGTTATACATATTAATAACATCCAGTATTTATGTCCTTTTGATTGTCACTCAAAGCTATAAATATATCTCTATCATAGTTTTGCCAAATTCTCATCCATTAAATGTGCCATATCAAAGTATTTTTCAAAGAGAAACGGTGAAGAAAATTTTATTAATTCTAGTAAGAAGGAGAACAAAGTTACCTGGTGTGAAACTAGAAAAGTGAAGACATTGAAAGTCACCCTGTAGATAAATAAAGACTGCATGTTCACCATTTTATGAACCACCAGGCTGCCAAGGCATCTGCTCAAACCTTGGCGAGACGTTGAACATCCATCAGTTACTTGTTTATAGGGACCTATCGAGGAGAAACAAGAGGACAACGGCTTCTGTAGCTACGAAAACTCACTTTGTCCACAAGAATGAACTCTATGCAGTAGATCCTCCAGTCAGGTTTTATACATAAATAAGAAACACTTAGAGATTGGTGATGATTTGAGCCTCACACATGTCCCTGACTGAATTGTGGAGATATCATCTTTAAGTTTGAGGGAAAAAAGTGCATTTTGGAAGGAACGTGCAATAGTTGAAATCCGGACTCACATGTTTGTTATTTATTTTTTTACACATATATTTTGTATATGTAGATTTCGTATGTCTGATACAATCCAGAACCATCTCACTCTGACCAATGACAGCTGTCACTTTACTTTAATTATTCCTGTTTCTTTACTTGAAGAAACAAATTTTGGTCATTTGCACTTGTAGTAGAAGTATAAATATAAATAAATTCATATATAAATATATATACATAGTATATACAGTATAGAAAAGGAAATATTAGTTTCTAGATCTATTTAAAACCATATTTAATGTTTTCAGTGTTGCTTGAATGATCATTTGTTGTGAATGCTGCTAGTATCTATAGATTTATTTGTACTGTACATAGAGATGACTGCATTACAATGAAAGATGAAGGGAAAAAGGGTATAGACTAATACATATCAGTGGTGGCGGTGGTTACCTAACAAGACAAGGCTGTATACATTTGGCTTGCTGTGTCTGGACAGGGTTAACTTTCTGTTTTATTCAAAGAAAAATATATTAACTAAATACCTTGATGCAATATTACAACTGCGGGCAAATCACTCACTCTTTTCCCCTTTCTTTTACAATGCTCTCCTCATTCTTCCCGTTTTTTATCCCGCAATTAGAGAAGGAACTTTAAGGAAACATGATTTGAATTTATGTGGGCACCAACGTATTTAAATATGGGCGTTTCTATTTGGAAAATGTTGCTGCTTGGAAAAACTACCTTTGACATATGTGGCACTTAGCAAGAAGCAACTGACAGTTTTCAGAGTTTTTGCTGTGCCAAATGATTTTGTTTACTTTTTACCATGCTGGTCAGGAAGGAGCTGCCCGCTCGCAGCGTGTTTTGCAAAGCATAGTCATTTTAGAACTGCACAGCTCACAAGAATTAAAGGAACACCTTTTTTACTGGGCCTGGCATGAAATCAGTTAAACCTGTCTGATAATTTCCTGGTTGATTAAGCAGACGAGGGCATTGTTAATCACTTTCAGCTGTATTGGTGTTCATGGACTTAACGACAGGTGCACTAAAGTGGCAACAATTACAAAACCCTCAAAACAGGACTGGTTTAACATGTAGAGGTCTTTTCAAGTTTCTCCCTCTTGATCTTTTTCGGCTGGTTTTCCACTCGTGCTAGTTTTGGCTCTCTACCGGCAGTATGAGGTGATTCCTTAACCCTACAGAAGTTGCACAGGTTGTCCAACTTCTCCAGGATGGCATATCCACACGTGCAGCAGCAAGAAGGTTTAATGTGTCTCCCAGCACAATCTCCAGAACATGAAGATTTCAGGAGACTGGTGGTTATTCTCGGAGAGCTGGACAGGGCCGTAGAAGGTCCACAACCCATCAGCAGGACCGATACTTGCTCCTTTGTGCAAGGCGGAACAGGCTGAGCACTGCCCGTGCCCTACAGGATGACCTCCAGAGGGCCACTGGTGTGAATGTCTCTACCCAAACAATCAGCAACAGACTTCATGAAGATGGCCTGAGGGCCAAACGTCCTGTAGAATTGAAACAATTGAATGGCCTTCACGATCCCCTGACTTAAACCCAATAGAACATCTGTGGGACATTATGTTTCGGTCCATTGGGCGGCACCAGGTTGCTCCTTAGACTGTACAAGAGCTCAGGGATGCCCTCACACAGATCTGGGAGGAAATGCCACAAGACACCATCCGTTGTCTCAATAGGAGCATGCCCCGACGTTGTCTAGCATGCACACAAGCTCGTGGGGGCCACACAAGATACTGAAAAGCAATTTGAGTTGCAGAAATTAAGTTATTTAAATAATGGACTAGCCTGCCACATCTTCATTTCACTCCGATTTTAGGGTGTCTACACAATTGAGCCCTCTGTAGGCTGCATCCTTTTGTTCCTAAGACGTTGCCCTGTCGTTATATCCAACTTCATATTGAGAGCTGATGCATCTAATGTTTTTCTTTAATGTGTTCCTTTAATTTTTGTGAGCAGTGTATCTACAGCATCGCCTGCATCATCTGAGCCTTTTAAATTCATTCAAAAGAAAAGATGTTTGATATTTATTGGAGACGTTTGTTGGAAATGTATTTCTTTATTGAATTATAAATGTTTTATAATTGCTGTTTGCATGGTACTATGTGGCAATATTTGTTTTAGTGGTTTCTATAGTGATAACTTACATGTGCAAGTTGCAGCGTGGTGGTGGGGGTGGGGGGCTGGCCAGTCGTTCTCAAAGAGTTAGATGTTTGAGGAGTTTGGCCACGTGGTCGGCGGCGTGGCCAAACCCTAACAAGTCTTTTGCAAAAAAAAAATATATGAGAAAACATTTGAGTTCATTTTACTTGTTATATTGAAAACATTCTCAAGTAGTTTTATGTCATGTTATAGATTTTGTTTGTGAATAGATGAGCCTTAGGAAGGGTCATTTCACTTTTGTACATATTTATATATAAATATATCACTTAAGTCAGAAAAACTGTAACATACTGGTGTTGTCCTTTGTTGTACACTGTTCTATCACTGTGGACAAAGTTATGGAGTTTTGTACCATCTTTTTTTGTCTAATCAGTTATGTTTCATTTTAAAGGACGTGTCAGTAGTCACTAGGTGAGTTTCCATCCTTTTTCCCCAGATGTGTTGAACCATAAACATCTTAAATGTTAAGATGCCATCTTAATGCCCAAATGTGGCTGAGGGAGCAAAGCACCTCCTGCTCAGTGATCTCCATCTACAGTGGGTGCTCCCACAGTGACCCCTGGTGGCTAAAGGGTGTATGAAAGTTAAATGCGACTCCTCCTGCTTTTACAAATCATTTTAACATCCAGACTTGCTGATTGGGATATGATTCTCTTAGACATTTTAGCACGCATTACCTTCTTGTTTTATTTTACCCAATTTATTTAGAAGGAAATATGTAATCGTTAACTTCATTGTGCTCATCACAGGTGAGTCCTCCCAGAATTCACCCCACCTCTTCATCACATCTGCCCCAACCCCCTGATCTCCCACAAAAATCCACAAAAATCCCTGCCACAAAAATCCACCCCAGCTCTGTGTTTTAAATGTGACTGCAGTGTAATTCTGACAAATAATCAAATAATATAAAACTTGCGCTTCCAATTCTGGTACAGGCTCTGCTTGAACACAAAGGGGGCAGTCAGCTCAGAAATCAGCACATCCCGTTCCTCCCCCTCCCTTCCCTTGAACTGATCCATGATTTATATCAGATCAGATTTGTCACCCGTGCAGCTGTAGCATGAAGAAAAAAAACTGCCGGTGATGATCCCTCAGTCTCCATCCTTATCTTAAGGGCTCTGAACACATCTGTAACCGGGTTGAGGAGGCTGTCCTGGGCTAACAAATCTTATCTCTGATTATTGCAGAGAAGTCACAGTCTGCAGCTCTGATTTGGACCACTCAGTGGATCTTAAATGTTCCTGATGTAGGAATGAAAAAGGATAAACATGCTTTCATTTCAAACTGTCAGTCTCTCTGGAAGTTCAATGAGAGAAAACTCAATTGCCCGTCGACGCTGTCCAAGCAGAGCCCTACTCCAGCTTATGTTGTGTTACTCAGTGCATGCATGCAAAACTACCCTGAACAAAGGTGTGCTGAAAACATATTGGGTGTTTGTGATATACAAGTATTCTGTTTCTATCAGTCAGAAACTTTTATTTCCAGTATATTTATTTTCCTTTTTCATTAGGACTGGCCTGTTGTTGTATTCAAGGTTACTATAGAAGATTCTATTTTTGAATGGTAGATCTATCAACGGTCCTCTTATTGTGTTGGGTTATCTTCAAACAATTATCAAAGTTTATATTTCAGTTCAGTCTGAAATCGTGTGGTCCAGTGAATTAGATAGACAAGGAAAAAAAACTGTTTAGTTTCCTCTAAAAATGTGTAGCAATGAATGAAAACTTTATGTTGGTAAAGATTCCCAATGAATCTTAGATGTGCCAAAAAAAAACTATCATACAGAATTAGTTTCTTGGACCTGAAGATTAAGCTCTTTCAGGTCTGATATCTTAAACTTGAGTGGTGAACCTTTACAGGAAGGGACTTTATGTCGTGGAGTAGCACCCAAACTGGAAAAGGAACAGATACTTGAGTAAATATCTTTGAAACATTTAACTTCTGGCCCTTTTCCTCTGTTGCGTGAAGCGAAGTTAGCAAACAAGAGATTAATCTTCAACATGTGTCTCGAGATTTTCTTTTAACACTTGTATCTAAATTGATAAGCAGCATTTTGCTCCAGAGGATCCTTGTCTGTCCCAAATTGATTTAAATTAACTGGTTTTGTTGAGAATATTTTGTATGACCGCTTTAAAGAGGTATGTGAACATGATCAATATAAACCTGTTAAATTTCACTAATATAAAAATGTTGGTTTCCCCTTAAAGTGTTCATGACTTTTCCCAGTCCTATGGTAAAGCTGTAGTGTTTTTCTTTCAGTTCTGTGGGAGTGCGGGTGTGTACACGTGCACTTGTAACTGCTGGGGCAACACATTCTCACCCAAAACGTCAAAATATGACACGTGTGACCAAGCGTCAATATATGACGTTTCGGGACGCCCCAGCGTGTCAGGAGACGACGATCAGGGACACGCAGATGACACACCGTACCAGAGCATCGATATCCGACGCCGGTGGTGAGACGGACTTCAGAATGACTTAACCTTCCCCTCACCCCAATCCTAACCTTCAGTTCACAGTTACTGACCTTAAGGTTAGGATGAGGGTGAGGGGAAGGTTAAATAGTCGAATAATGTCCGTGTGACCACGGGCGTCAAACACCGACGCCAGCGGAGCCACGTGTTCCTGATCGTCGTCTCCTGACGCGCTGGGGTATCCCGAATCGTCATATATTGACGCTTTGGGTGTGAGAATGTGTTGGCTGGGGGCGGGGTGGTTATGGGCAAGGGTGGGAAGGGGCTACGTGTAAATAAATCAAATACTGTTAGTGTGGAGGTAATTTTTTTTTCCTGTGTCAGTGTAAGTTAAATATTTTAAAATTTAAAAAAGGACATGTATTCTTCTCTATTGTGATTCATGGTACATTAAAAAGAGGAAAAAAGTAGTTTTATCCTACGATTCAAATGCTTATCTCTATGGCTTCTGGCGATCCCCGTTCCATTTTATAGATTTGTCAGCACAAAATGCAATAAACCAATGTCATTTTACTACAGCACGTGTGTGTTGAGTTTTTAATCATGTTTAACAATGGCAATAAAAACACAAATTAAACTGCGCAAACCCATTAAACATTCAACAGATACTGGTTGAAAAAGCAGATTACAGAATCGAATAAAGGTATTAATAAAAAGAATAAAAGCCAAATAGTCAGACTACTTATTGGTCTAAGTTCATTTTAACAACATTAAAGAAAAAAATAAGAACTATTACAAAAACGTCCCTACAGTCTATTGATACAAAGCTGCTCAATCCAATCACACAGACCATCAGGAAAGCGGGACTGCAGATTTCCCTACAGCTCACTAGTACTGACGAGGATACATGGACATGGGAGGGGCCTGGCCCATACTGGGTGCTGCTCTTAGGGGTGGCTGCTGAGGGACACTGGAGCCCACCAGGTTATTGAGGGATGGCCCACTTTGAATCAGAGTATCAAGAGCTTTCTGGACACTTGGGTTGTCAAAGTTGATACCTGAAGCAGGGGGTCTCTGACCAGCTGGAGCCACAGGCATGCGACCTGGAGGGGCGCCGTAGCTCTGGGCTGTAGCTGGAGAAGCACTGAGCATAGCTGGGCGGGAGGGGTTCTGGCCAGGAGTCGAACCAAGAGAACTGTAGGAGTGTGACTGGGGAGAAGAGGAAGCAGCTCCTGGTAATGAACCAGAGCCGCTGTTAAACAGACTGAGGATTTTAGCCTGCAGCTCCTGTTGGTTAGCTGAGGAACTTGGAACAGCTGAAGGGTGACTTGGTTGCAGAGGGGCATGAGCAGACGGAGGAGCGGGTCCTGCTGCTGATGAAGCATCTTGATGTAGGACGTGGGCTTGAGGATCACGATGCACTCCTGCAGGAGGTAGGGCATGGACTCCAGCTGTAAAGACAAACATTCAGTCACAATTTGGTGCAATTAAAGAGTTTATAATGATATGGAAGGACAATAAAAACATAGATATCAGTCACTCGGATGTAATGAATGTAATGTTCACATGATAAAAGGTGAATTTGTACTTTGATATTTACCTGCAGTAGGATCTGCTGGGGTTCGTACAAGGCGAGCGCGTTTGTCTTTCAGGTATGCAATGAGACTGTCCAGTTCCTCTGGAGTTAAAAACCTACAACACAACACACACAAAATGTAACACAACAAGGTGGCATTACACTTCTTCTGAAAAGGAACTGTAATGCAATTTCAAGAGATGCTCAATATTGGCTATTTTACCAATATCCAATAAATATAGTCTAACTCTTAATTTCCAATACAGATATATGCAGACATTAACAGAGCGATCATATTGGACATTCCAGTGAATTTCAATTGACAACACACACATTCCTCAAAAGTCTGAGGCCATTAAATCTGATACCTGTTTTCAGCCAGCAGAGTGATGCCAGTGAGAACCGACACGGGATGGCTCTCTCTGTCCGGTTCCCGAAGTAAAACGTCATCTGCCATTTTGGCAGCCTTCCTGGCAATCTCCTCTCGTTCTTTTTCACGGTTTTCCACTTTAAAGGTGTCAAAGTTGTGGGCAACCAGCATCATGGCATCCTGCATCGGCATGTTTCGATGCTCTAAGGCAATAATGACCAACACAAACGTGAACAAGATAAGAACAAAACAAAAGCAGAGGCTGCCCTTTTTATATGCAATCCTGAATTACCTTGAGGGGTTCCAAACAGGATGTTAACAGTGCAAGAGCGGTGCACCTGGTGCTGCTGGGTAATGATGATGGCAAAGGGAGTACGGGCTCGGCCTACATCCTCAAGTGCCTGGGTAAGAGACACTTCTGTGTTGAGGAAGATCAGATCGACAACCATTCCCAAATCACGGACTTTCCGCCCGACCGTCTCCGCATACTCCCTACTGTTGTTTTTGAAGTACACACACACACACACACACACACACACACACACACACGAGCGGTATGAAATAAAAACGTTCCAGGTTTTGGTAGAGTGTCTCGTAACAGTTGTAGTCAGTAAATTAGCACTTCCTGTAAAAGACATAGGGTGGTGCTCAATGCCAAGGAACCTTGCCTTGATGTCTTGGCCCCGCCCCAGTTGCCTAGGAAATACGTCATCAGGAGCCGCCAAGACGTGTTCCAGTCGGTTTCAATGTTCATGTTCTACCAAGGCCTGTGTTCTCCGTTTGTTAGCCGTTTAGCTAGCTGAGCAAGGATACATGGGAGGTGTCTTGAAGCCTAGCCTTGGTCAAAAATTACCCACAATACGCCGCGGTATTTTCAAAAAAATGGTGGATCAGAAGCCGGCAGCTACTTCTGGGACAATTTGAAAGTTTAAAAGTAAGTCAGCCAATTTAAAATGTTTTTTTTTTTTTTTTTTAGACCCAAAGAAGTTATCTATGGTTGGTTAGTTGCTTAGTAGTTGCAGCTTCGGTGGCTAGCGGGAAGTAACTCACTTATATTTTTTATTTAATAAACATGTACACAATTTAAAAAGTCAAAGTTTGTTATATATTGATATTGAAACTAATACATATAAAATATAACATTACGTGACCGCCGTGGAAGCTGCGGTCACGTAATGCTAGTCTGTTCCTTTTAACCGTTTTCTTGGACCAAGAAAGGACAGTGTCCTTTCAAGCAAGGCGCCTGGCCTTGCAAGACATCGCCTCGCAAGGCACCTAGACATTGAGAAACACCCACAGTGAACTTACTTCTGCGCCTTGTTGACGACGATCACAGAGCAGTCAACGGGACGATCAGCGTCATAGCGCCGCTGGAGTTCTTCAAAGTACTGTCGGTACAGCTCATTACGCCGGCGCTCTTCTGGTCGAACTCGATCCTCTGCTGTTAAATGTGTTTAAGATTAATGGATTAAGCTAACTATTCATTTTGAAAATGCTAAATTTGACTAATCAGTATTTTATTTATATATTAAAAAAAAGATGTTTCAAGAGAAATTTAAAAAGTTGTTTTCTTGAGAATACAAAAAAGTTCAAGAAAGCACTCAAGACCAACTGATGCTACACTATTGGAATAGTTACCAACCTGCCTCACGGCGTCCATTCCAGGGATCTAGGAATGGATCCCTGTAGGGATCTTCCTTCCTCCTGTAGTAGTCCTCTGCACCGCTGCCAGCGCGGAAGTACCGGTCATATTCCTCCCGGCTGCGTTTCAAGAATAAACGCTCAGTCAACAATGCAACTGCGGGATGTACAACTTTCAGCTGTTAGTCTGAATGTAATCACCTATATGCAGCAGGCTCTCGTGGGTCACCTCTGGCATCCTTGTCTCGGCTGTCTGAGCGGTAGCGAAAATCAGGGTCCCGAGAGTGGGTTCCTGGTCGGGGATCTCTACCAGCATCCCTTGCATCACGGTCTCGAGGCTCACGACCGTCGCGCCCATAAACAGGTGAGCGTGAGCGAGGACGGGATTCTTTGCTGTACGGGGCCCTGAGAATATGATTAGTCATTAGTCCACGAAGTAGCTACCAAGACAATAACGCTGTGACTAAATCAGAATAGCTGGCCTAGTTGCTGACATTTTACTGCAAGTCAGCCTGTAACTTTTAGTTGTAACTGATTTGCACTGCAAAATATATTTTGTTGGTATGGAAATTCTAATTTAATAACAATAAAAAAGGACTTAAAATGTTTCCAGTGATCTGACAAATAGGGTTGTCACGGTAACCGGTATAGCGGTAAACCCCGGTAAAAAAGTTGACAATAAAAATAACCGTCCAGTTTTTAAAAAACTATATTATCTCGGTGGGTTTACCGTGGCCGCGGTTTCGGCGCGATGACCCTTACCAGCCACCGTCGCTTCAGCTGAAGTTCCCGCTGCGCGCACACGCACTTTTTAATTTGCAACGGCACCAAAACTTTGAAGCTGAAATAATGGCCGAAGGAGGAGACGGCAGCGCCCAGGACATCCATCAGCCCTCAAAGAAGACTAAATCGGAAGTATGGGCATATTTGGGATTTCTGAAAAATGCTGAGGGACAGTTAATAGAAGACGGCTATCCCGTTTGCAGAACGTGCAGGAAACAAGTGTCTGCAGAAGGCAGCAACACTTCAAATCTCATGGCACATCTGCGTGACGATCACCCACGTCTCCACAGCCAGTGCAAGGTAAGTTAACATTAGCATTTTAGCTGAAATGCATGACGTGAGGACTTTTGGTTGAGGGAGAATGCAACGAGTCACTATATACTGCAGCCGCAGCGCCCTCTGCCAGCATTTAAACCGTGTCACGGACACCCTGTTGCTGCATGAAGCATCTTATTTGTTGATGATGAAGAGAAATATACAATTAGTTCCTTGTCATGGATTTGTTTACTTATTCAATGTCATTTATACTTGAACATTTGGATTTGATTACATAGTGTAGTAGTTATTTTAGTAATTTGTTTAAAGTGGATATTTATTTTAAATACATATTTTTTAAGGTTGACTTGTACAGTGCTCAAGTCAAGTGTGGACTGGAGTTTTAGATTTTCATTTTGATAATGAAGAAAACAAGTATATGAGAAAACAAGTGGTGTTTCTTTGATTTGTTTACATATTGTTTATGTTTTGAATGTTTGGATTTGTATAATTTAAACCTGCACTGACTACTGTAACATGTTCCAGAAAAATAAGCTATTTGTTCCTTTACTTGTGAAAAGTTGCACTTTTGCTAAGGCTTTGTGTTATTTTAGGTTTAATAAACACTGTTAAACCTTTTCAAAACTATTTCAGTTTGTGTAGAACAGGACTATCAATGCTTTCTGAACATATGCAACACCGTTTAAAAAATACCGCGATAATACCGAAAACCGTGATAATTTTGGTCACAATAACCGTGAGGTTAAATTTTCATACCGTGACAACCCTACTGACAAATGTCACTGTCAAACATTTCAGGTTAAAATTTTCAGAGCTCAAGCAATGTTTCTGTTACTGCTAAATAAAAGTAGCACAGCCACCAGGGCAGCTTTTTGTTGAAAATCAAGACTGGTTCATTACCCACAACATCTACTTATTTAGTTTTGTGTAAAAACTGCAAATGTTCAACAAAAATCGAGTTTTTTTAATTTATTATGGAAGAAAAGTGACATGGTCAAACGACGTTTATATACTTTAAGGTCTATAACAGTTGACCACTTCGGCAATGTCGGCCAATCTTTAGGACAAAAACATTCAGTCTCACCTTCTACTGAAACAACCTTGTTCAGCTGATTTCAGGAAAAACTATGTGCTCCAACTTTTATATACCTTTTTCATAACAGGATAAGTATATCAAGTCCAATCCTTTCACTTCTGTTGCATCTGCATTTTTCTAAAATGAGATCATGACTACACTTAAGCAACAGACTATTTAGCTGGATTAAGTGCAAACTTTACTGCAAAGAAATGAAACACTTTGCCATAAAGAGTTTTGTGAGCTTTAGTTTTTCTCACTGAAGAAAATATATGAACAGTGACATGTTTAGGAAGTTACCTGTGAGTTAGATAAAGCGCTGCCGCAAACACACCAGGAATAGATTTTCGATTTGTAAAACAATGAAACAAATTCACACCAATGTCATATTGTTCACGCGCGCAAAAAGACGGAGCTTTGTGTATTGTTATGTAGATAGGTGATGGTCGAGTTATTTAAAAATAACATTTTTGCATAAATGCACAAAGCAAAAACCAGGCTAAGCCCTGAGAAATGTTTATTATTGGTAAAAAATAATAATAATCATACACTGGGTTCTTTAAATTCTACATGGCCTTGCTGCCATGGAACCCACTTGCTTTGCTTTAGAGAAGCTGTGTTACTGATGGTAACAAAAATAACTTTTGTTAAACTAAATCACAATATAAGACAGAAATCTGTTTACTGAAAATTATGTTAGGATTTGGGCTGAACGATTGTAGAAAGTAATGTAATTGCGATTTATTTTTGTCAATATTGCCATTTAATTCATGATTATTTGCTCAAGGGGCTTTTCTCATATTTTCAACTAATGGAAACCAAAAAATCTATGTAACTGAATATAGACATTTATGTATCTACAGATTTATCTACATATATCAACAAGTTTAATTGTCTACATATACATAAACACTCTCAAGTAAAGACAAAATTTTGTATTTGAAGGTGCAACGCTTTGCAGCCAGGAGCACATGCCTTGATGGAGCATAGATATTAGCATCAACTGTGAAAATTTATTTGCAGGAAAGAAGTGTGTCCCATTTAGTGAAGTATTTTGTGTTTCGAGTTTTTGACGTCTTATCCATGCAGAGCTTCTGTAGTTCTGCTACATCCATAGTTGCTAGCCAAAACTCTGTGGAGTTTAAGTCTCTTACGGTTTTCTAGCTTTACTAAATTATTCCTCTGTGCTTATTTGATTGATGACAGTTTTTACTTTTTATTGGACTCCAAATGTAATCATTTGGCATGTTCCTAATTTGTAATTTATAAGAATGTAATCAGCAATATTAGCATTAGCATCCCTATGGGTTTTTCCATTCCTAGTCAAATTGCAGCCTTTGCGATTAGAAAATCTGTTTTTGTCACATCGCAAATTAACTGCATATGCAATTAATCGTTCAGCCCTATTTATGATATGATAAAAACTATAAGCAGCAACATGCCTAAATCACCCGCATGAAGAAATGTTGATTATAAATCACAAAATGTTGCAGAATAATCCAAGAGGTCAAGAATCTTTGAAACAAAGACACTTTAAATTACACAAATGCAACTCTTCTTTATTTCGAAACATCAAAAAGCGTAAAGTTTTGTATGAAATGCTGGCCATTCCATTAACCATTACAAACCCGTCCAAAAGTGGTGTAGCATCCTTCAAGTGGAATTTAACCCTTGGAGAAAATTACAGTTGAAATAAATTAAATACGCTTTTTTGTTTTACCGACACCTGGAGGTGATGGTAGTTCGTCACACTCATTTCGCGTTACTTTACCTTCGTGGAGGACTCGGCTGGGATTGAGGTTTAGCTTGACGTCGTTCCACTGCCATATTTACATCTGAAAATAAATCAATCCAAACGTTGAACACAACAGTGATATGTAGATCAGCTCATGTTGTTTACGCAAAATGAGAGGCCTTGTCACTTTCACGATCCAAATGAAATGGAACGCCACGATCAAAAATTGAAAAGGAAAAAAACAAATTGAAGCTGGCAAAAGATCCAAAACAGTGAGTTGCCAAATTCCGTAAAAATTTTCACCGAAACTTGCAAACCACCAACAGTTTGCTGTGGTCATCAGATGTGGGTCAAACGAGAAAAAAAAAAGTGCAAAAATAAGGTTTGAGCAATATTTAAAAAAACGATTTTTTAGTTTAATAAATTTAATTCCTTTTTTAAATTCTACTGTCATGTTGTGTTGGCTGAAAATTAAATGTTGTATGCTGGTCTGGGCTCTTATATTTAAAATGTAGTAGTGTCACCAAATTGGTATTCAAAAAAGGTGGAATTTGTGCATTTGTGAACAAATAACCAATAAGACCAAATGCAACATGGTTTCAAAGAGTCACGGATGTGATCTTTACACGACCCTAGCTAGAATCATGAAATCAGAGTGTTTATTTAGCCATCATCCATTTTCATCCGCTTATCTGGAGTAGGGTCGCGGGTGCAGTAGCCTAATGGGCTTGACACACGGGAGGCGATATCGCCTCTCCTCCATTCATTTTTAATGAGACAAGCGCGACAAAGCCATAATCGCGGGTCTCCCTCCTACAAAGCGAAATGCGAAAAATGTGTGTGTGAAATTTTGCGCTCGTGCACGTGTCGTGCACAGGCGACCCAGCGACGCAATCCCAGAAAGTTTTAATATTTTCAACCTTTCATCGCTGTCGCTCGGACGAGGACCAATCAACGGAGGTTTCATTCACTGACCAATGAGCGGGCAGGACGCTCACCTCCGAGCAAACATGAAGGAGAAGTTGATTGTTATTATGTTTTATATAGTAAAATCAGAAGTAAGCTTTCACATAACTCTAGCAGCACCTTGTGAAACATCATATCTACCACTTTTTTAACTCTGAACCGCTTAAATAACCTTACAGGTGCTGGCCAGTAAATTAGAATATCATCAAAAGGTTGAAAATATTTCAGTAATTCCATTCAAAACGTGAAACTTGTACATTATATTCATGCAATGCACACAGACCAATGTATTTCCAATGTTCATTACATTTAAATTTGATATTCATAAGTGACAACTAATGAAAACTCCAAATTTGGTATCTCAAAAAATTAGAATATTCTGAAAAGGCTGAATATAGAAGACACCTGCTGCCACTCTAATCAGCTGATTTACTCAAAACACCTGCAAAGGCCTTTAAAAGGTCCCTCAGTCTTGTTTTGAAGGCACCACAATCATGGGGAAGACTTCTGACTTAACAGCTGTCCAAAAGACAATCACTGACACCTTGCACAAGGAGGGCAAGACACAAAAGGTGATTGCTAAAGAAGCTGGCTGTTCGCAGAGCTCTGTGTCCAAGCACATTAACAGACAGGCGAAGGGACGGAAAAAATGTGGTAGAAAACAGTGTACAAGCTCTAGGGATAACCGCACCCTGCAGAGAATTGTGACGACAAACCCATTCAAAAATGTGGGGGAGATCCACAAAGAGTGGACTGCAGCTGGAGTCAGCGCTTCAAGAACCACCACGAGGAGACTCATGAAAGACATGGGATTCAGGTGTCGCATTCCGTGTGTCAAGCCACTCTTGAACAAGAAACAGCGCAAGAAGCGTCTCGCCTGGGCCAAGGACAAAAAGGACTGGACTGATGCTGAGTGGTCCAAAGTTATGTTTTCTGATGAAAGCAAGTTCTGCATTTCCTTTGGAAATCAAGGACCCAGAGTCTGGAGGAAGAGCGGAGAAGCACAGAATCCACGTTGCATGAGGTCCAGTGTAAAGTTTCCACCGTCAGTGATGGTGTGGGGTGCCATGTCATCTGCCGGTGTTGGCCCACTCTGTTTCCTGAGGTCCAGGGTCAATGCAGCCGTCTACCAGGAAGTTTTAGAGCACTTCATGCTTCCTGCTGCTGACCAACTTTATGGGGATGCAGACTTCACCTTTCAACAGGACTTGGCACCTGCACACAGTGCCAAAACCACCAGCACCTGGTTCAAGGACCATGGTATCCCTGTCCTTGATTGGCCAGCAAACTCGCCTGACCTTAACCCCATAGAAAATCTATGGGGTATTGTGAAGCGGAGGATGCAATACGCTAGACCCAACAATGCAGAGGAGCTGAAGACGACTATCAGAGCAACCTGGGCTCTCATAACACCTGAGCAGTGCCACAGACTGATCGAGTCCATGCCACGCCGCATTACTGCAGTTATTGAGGCAAAAGGAGCCCCGACTAAGTATTGAGTGCTATACATGCACATTCTTTTCATGTTCATTCTTTTCAGTTGGCCAACATTAGAGAAACAAACATTTTTTCATTGGCCTTTAGAATATTCTAATTTTCTGAGATACCAGATTTGATGTTTTCATTGGTTGTCACCTATAAATATCAAAATTAAACGTAATAAACATCGGAAATACATTGGTCTGTGTGCATTGCATGAATATAATGTACAAGTTTCACGTTTTGAATGGAATTACTGAAATATTTTCAACCTTTTGATGATATTCTAATTTACTGGCCAGCACCTGTAATTCCCTCCAACCTGACACAGCCAAGCCAAACAACGGAAGTTTCGATTTCGCCATGGAACAGAACGCGTAGACGGCTTTGCCGCTGGCCGCGGATCGCCTCCCGTGTGTCAGGTAATAAAAGCGACAGTGACAAATTTCGCTGATCACGGTCGTTTGTCGCCTCCCGTGTGTCGAGCCCAAGAGGCGAGAGGCCCAGACTTCCTTCTCCCCAGCTACTTGGGCCAGCTCCTCCAGGGGAATCCCAAGGCATTCCCTGGCCAGGTGAGAGACATAGTCCCTCCACCGTGTCCTGGGTCTACCTTTAGGTCTCCTCCCGGTTGGACGTGCCCGGAAAACCTCACCAGGGAGGCGTCCAGGAGGCACCCTTACTAGATGCCCGAGCCACCTCAACTGGCTCCTCTCGATGTGAAGGAGCAGCTGGTCTACTCCGAGCCCCTCCCGAATGACCGAGCTTCTCACCCAATCTCTAAGGGAGAGCCCAGCCACTCTTTGGAGAAAACTCATTTTGGCCGCTTGTATCTGCGATCTCGTTCTTTCGGTCACTACCCAAAGCTCATGAACCATAGGTGAGGGTAGGAACGTAGATCGACCTTGTTTAACAAGACCTTGGTTATTTAGCCTTGTTTGACAAAATACGGTTTGCAGTGTGCCTCAATGTGATCATATCCTGGTCACGGAACACTGGACCATCTCTTCACCTCAGCGTTTAGTGTACATTGAGGTGGCTTATGAACCTATCCCTAGCCATATCCTATGAGCAGTACTTTGGAAGTATGGCATTTGGGGCCCTCTACAGAGCATCTTGTACAGCTAGAGCAAGATGTTGGTTTGTATTGATCTTTTCAGTACATGCTGATTTCTGACAAGGTTGAGTTTTGTCACGCTTTATATTCAAAACTGCTCGTGCTGACAGAATTTCAACATACAGTGGAGGCAGAAGGTCTAAGCTCTGGAGACTTTGATTGACATCACTCTGCAGACTAAGTAGTCCATTTGGGGCTTATTGGGCAGTGGAATACAGGACAGATGTGCAGCCAGTATGAAGATCAGAACCTTCAAGGCCATGGTTCTAGACTAAAAGTAAAGGTGAACTGGCTTTTTTATTTGGAGAATGAGTCATTGCCTCAAATGAGAAGGTTCAGGTGTCTTTCTTAAGTGGAGGAACTGAGTGGGCCACTAAAAGGTAGATCAGGTCATCGACAAAGGAACCAATTTTAATCAAGAAATTTTCAACTTGTTCCATTTAAGACTGTGTCAATTCTAACAGATGTCAAGTACTACATTTTTATGTTGAGATGTTGCATTTGGTCCTAACGTTTACCAGAGTTATGGGCTCCACACACGGGAGGCGACATCGCCATGCGATAATCGCGGGTCTCCCTTCTACCAAGCGAAACACGGAAAACGTGCGTGTGAAATTTTGCGCTCGTGCACGTGTCGTGCACAGGCGACCCAGCGACACGATCCCAGAAAGTTGAAACATTTTCAACTTTTCATCGCTGTCGCTCGGACGAGGACCAATCAACGGAGGTTTCATTCACTGAACAATGAGCGGACAGGATGCTCCGTACATCCCCGAGCAAACATGAAGGAGAAGTTGATTATTATTATGTTTTATATAGTAAAATCACAAGTAAGATTTCACATAACTCTAGCAGCACCTTGTGAAACATCATATCTACCACTTTTTAAACTCTGAACCGCTTAAATAACCTTAATTCCCTCCAACCTGACACAGCCAAACAAAACAACGGAAGTTTCGATTTCGCCATGGAACAGTACGCGTAGACGGCTTTGCCGCTGCTGCGGATCGCCTCCCGTGTGGCAGGTAATAAAAGCGACGGCGACAAATTGCGCTGATCGTGGTCGTTTGTCGCCTCCTATGTGTCGAGCCCATTACTAGAATATTGACTTCATTTTCTTTGATGTATGCAAGTCAAGCTCAAAATGACGATGCTTAGAATTTATTTAATGTATTTGATTTTGTTTTCTCACCGCTGGAAGTAACAATTCCTCACATACCACACAGTCACTTTTTGGATATGGCTTACCTATTTTGTAACCTTTATATATTCGACCCTTTTGACCAGCCTTTGCAGCTTCAGCTTCCTCAATGCGCTCAAATTGTACAAATCCATATCCTCGAAACAAGGAAACGCCTAGAAGAGGAATATTTTAAGTAACAAGAACTTGTTTGGATATCTACTCAAATTACCACCTAAAGAATGTCCCTGAGGAAAGTTCATGCATTTCATTTAATGAAATACAAAATTATCTAAAGGTTAAAAATCTAAAAATTTCCAAAAGCTGTGGAAAACAGCAGCAACCTCCACCGAAACAAATCTTCATGAACCAACATTGGTGACTCATCGCTCGTGTTTACTAACCGATTACTTTCCCGTATGGGCTGAACATTTCTTCCAAATCCTTGTTTGCCATGTCAGAAGTTGGTAAATTCCCAACAAAAATTCTTCGCTCCAAATCTCTTGGATCGTTACTGCTGCACCTGCGAGTATATCGCGCTGGTGATGGGCTGCGGCTTCTTCTGTGAGACATGACTAGATCCAACGGTTTATTGGTTTCTTTCTTCGTTATGCTCAAACAGATTTTGGCTGTTCGCAAACAAGTGTCTTTAGAGAGTCCTCAGTCCTGAAACATGTCAGTGAGCAAAAGAAGAGATGAAATTCCTTCAAAAATAGAATTTACAGGATGAAATGTTGCAGATCAAAATCACATCAATGCAAAGCAAATTAAAATGCTGGGTTGAAAAGAAAGTTTTTTTTTATTTGTTTTGAACATCACGCTTTCACAATGTCTATTATTTTATCTTAGATACACTTTTGAGGGTTTTATTAAAATGGTTTGACGTTTGTCTTAAAATTTAAGTGAAAGCAACAAGACCTAAAGATCCGCAAATGACAAATGCCAAGACCAATGTAAATCAACATTTCGACTTTCATTCCGTGACGCAGTGATCTTTGAAGCTTTCGTTCATTAACCCCCCCCAATAAATCTGACGTGGTCTTTAGTACCAAAAAATACATTGTGAGCAAATTTCTGTGGAAAAACAAAAGCTTGCGCTCCTGTATGGACATTTGTTGTTGCCGTGTGACTGCCAAAAATAGACAAGACTTGGAGTACTGCTCATTAAGTCATGACGTGCAAACGTCTCACTTGTAACAGCAACAGCTCCTCAATTTTTGCTCCTTCTTCGTTCTTGGGTAAAAATACAGCAATGTGTTGTGTCCAAAAACAGCACAAGCATAACTTGTTTCACAGTTGTGTGGAGTTGTTAATGGTTAGCTTGTACTAGCCGAGAAATGCTGTGCTCTCTTCTGGCCAAAAAATGAACAAGACCTTTTGCAGAGTCCAGGAATGAAAATTTTCCCAGTGAAGTAGAAGAGTCTATTGTCCCACTTATTTCCTTTCTGCAGCTAATGTAGGGGACGGGGCTGAAGAAATGGTCATGCTTCTGCATGCATGTAAAATTTACCGAACATATTAAAAAAAAAGAAGTATTGAACGGTTTCTCAATGAGTAAGCCCTTTAAAATTGTCCTCAAAATGAGCAACTGACGACTGCTGAAAATTTTCATCTTTTTTCCTCCATTGACAAAGATTCACGTGATCACCACAACTGACAAATTTTAGAAAGGATTGCAAAAACAATTGACTGTTCCGATAAATCCCCTTCATTCACCCAAGAAAATCAAATGTGGGTAATGTCTACAAAGTAGGGGTTAAATGGGTCCATTCACATTAAAAGTACTTAGTTGTCATTTTACTTCCATGAGATGTAAATGTCAGGAAATAGCGCAACACATTTTAGAACCAAAGTTTCACTTTGATGTAGTAAAATAATCAATTAACCAACTTGTACTAATTGCAAAACACAGTGTTCATGGTGAGAAAAAGCTCTCCAATCCTCAAACCAAATGTTTGAGAGAAATCAAGAAAACTTTAGAACACCATAGGGCTGCTCAATTAATCGAATTTTAATCCCAATTACGGTCTGAGTTTTGAACGATTATAAAAACATGATGATTATTTGCTCCTCCCACTTGCACTGCTGTGAGTTGCAAATCAAGCGTTCCTCCCACAGTGTTGCCTAAAGCTTTTCAGACCCACTTCTTGACTTTTTAACTTCTAAAAGTACCCAGCAAACAACCTAGAAACAATTCTGGTAACCTTCAGCTACTTTCTGAATAATAGTCTACATTTCTGCAGGTTAGCAAAACACACAGCCTGTTTTTCCAGACCGTCCTTCCGGACATTTTAGGAAAGGGATGTCATATTGTGTCGGTCGCAAAAGAAAAGGCTAACAGAGCCAGCCTGTAAAAAAAAATTGTTTAGAAATAGATAAAGTTCCTCACACTGAAATAATAATTTATATCTCTGAGCGACACGTTGCCACACTCCTACAGCACTGCTGGAGAGAATTAAATTATGCAAATTTGTGAACTTCACTAAAATATTGATGTTTGTATGTTTTCATTTATTTTATATTATAAATGCACTGTATAATTCTTTCTGTCATCGTTTGCAACATATTGGTTGCAGTGTAGTCTCTAAATAAAGTAAAAATTTTCCAGTGCAGAGTGGAGACAACCCATAGAAGCACTGATTTGATCTCATTTCAGAGAAAAATAGAACAGGTTAGATGCACCTAATAAATAAAATTACTAACAAACTCGGGAATCTTTCTTTGCTTCACTGTTCTGGTGCTGAGAATATCACTCATGCGGATCAAAGGAGATCCACAGACGAATGCACCTCTTATTTATTATTTGGAGACTACATTTACTGCAGCTGGCAGAGGCAGATATTTTTTCTATTGATACACGGAATTTACAGAATCATTTTAAATTTTAATAGGGGAAGACTGCAGGAGGGAGCGGTAAAATACAGGGGGTCCCCAGCAAAAACAATAAACTTTACGAGTCTGATAAAACCTGCTGGTTTTCCATCAGGCAGTCACGGGGCAGCTCCAACGACCCAGTGGCTGTGCTGGGTCAATGTTATCGAGCTCAGTCCGGCTCGGCTGTGAACGAGCCGAGGCGACGTCGTGCTCTGCTTAAGAAGAAGTGTTATTTTCCCGCTTCAGAAGAAGCGTCCAACGTGTTTTTACGCTTTCTCAGAGACATGTCACGTCGCTAAGTTGTTAGCGCCGTGCGCTAACACGTCAATAGTGCAGCGTAGCCTGCTGGAGGTTTTAAGGGTTCAGATGAAAACACCCGACCTCTCACGCTGCTCACACATCGATCTTAAGTTGTCGCTGTTGAGCTCACGCCGTAATACAGTATTAGATGCGGTTAAAGTCAGACATGAAAAAATAAATAAATTTTACATGAATAAGTGATGCTTAACCTGGTGGGGGGAGGAGAACCTGGCCTAATAAGTACTGGAGGAAACCCTGTCAAGATCGTCAACACTCATTTATCTTAATGCTACTGAAACATGTAAACCAAAAGGCATTATATCCACTGCTACCTTTCTAATTTTAAACTCAGTAACTTATGCTGTAACTTCACCTAGCCCTGCCTGCTCCTTGCTGCCCGCCGGCTGTGATCACAAGCGACGACATAGTAGTTCCCGCTGCTTCTTTGGGAAACAGTGCAAAAAAAAAAAACTTGGGATCTTGTAGGCGTGGCGGTGGGATTTCAGCCGTGGCGGGCCGCCACGGGCTACGCCTATGTAAGGGAAACCCTGGGTTGAGTATTTGGGTCTCCCTTAAATGAGTTAAACCTCAGCCTAAACTCTTTGGATCATAAACTACATGCAAGTGCATTAGCCTTTTTATACTAGGAATCAGGATTTGTTTTTGTGATCATCTTGTTTCTTTCTTTTTCTTGTTTATTTTTGTCCTGATTGTGCCCTGTGCAATTTTATGACAGAATAAAAACCAACATTAATTTAAACATTGTCTTAAATAATCGAGATCTCAATTTCAATCAAAATAATCGTGATCATAATTTTTGCCATAATCGAGCAGCCCTAGAACACCATACCTCACAAGTTTATTAAGTTAGTGAAAATGTATTCAGCCGATGAAAATTTTTTACTCGTTTGTTGGACTCACTTCAATTGAAACGCAAAGAATAGACATTTGTTTAAAAGATCCTCTTCTCTTGAAACGGCAGAGTCCACTCCAGCGCAGGCGAGTTTGTCAAAATGAAGCGAGAAGTTTAAGATCAACAAGATCACAAATTCTTGTTGCTCAAACTCAGGAAATATTTTATTCTGAAGGTATGTAAAACGCAATTAGAAATGCTTTTAAAATAAATTGTTGGATATTTTCAGTCAAAACATCCATACAGCACAACTAAAAGAATATTCCAAAAAATAACATTAAGTTAATTATTTATATATGTATTTATAGGGTACAGACCCTAACCATACCTTAACTTGAAGGCAGATGATCTGTATTCAGTGCCCGATGGTTTAATGGTCCAAATGCCTATCAGCAGAAAGAGAAAGAAAAGGGGGAACAAAACTTAAATGTGGGCAAGAAGAGAAAACTAACGTTAACTTTGCTTATTTCTGGATATTTCTATAAACTCTGTAAATTATATCAATCTGTGTATGAACTCGAGTTCTAAATTTAATTAATCTACATCTTATAAAATTACGACACAGAAGTAATTCAAACAATTTTCATCAACCCACTGAAACCAGGAGATAGGGCCGGTTAATGGCCTCCGTTCATGTCCGTGGTAGTGTGTGTAGCAAATGGCGTTTCACGTGCGCCATGAACAGAGATAAGACAAATAACTACATTTACATTTTAATCGATACCACGGAACAACATAACAACATCCCAATTGCTGCTTCTTGCAGATTCATCCACGTTTGTGTTTATATTTACGAAAATGCGCCTTAACCTCGTGTAGCCTAGCATTAGCCTGCTAGCTAGTTACTTACACGGATACAAGGAGGTTAAAACCAAACAACTTTAATATTAAAATTGCTGTACCAGCTATATGAATCGCTAAGACCATTATTTACTTTATAATCGACTGTACAGCTCTCCACTTACCTTCGACGAGCAAATAATTTATATTTCGATTTGCTGTATTGACGCCAAAATGGCTAGCCGTCTTCCCCGTCTACGCCGTCTATTCTGTGTATTGCGCATGCGCGACTGTGCCGCGCTTGTAATCTCCAACGAACTACAAATAACAGGCTTGCTGATTTGGGTAGCTTTTTCTGTAGATTCCTTCAAAATTAAATATACCGCTTAGAAAATTCCAATTTTTAACGGCATAGTTAGTCTAAGGGGCAGAACGTCATAACTTATACAAACTACTCAACAACTAAAACTTAATAAATCTATGTATTTATCTGCAGCTTTATTTATATAACGCATTTCAGCCACAGAGGCAATTGCTTAGCGAGGATAGCAAGAACATTAAAATAAACGTGTCAGAAAATGCAATTTAAAAGATTAAAGGGTAAGCAAATATAATGCATAATGTTCAGCATAAGAACAGTCATTCAAAAGCTGATGAAAACATGAAGGTTTTCAATTTTGATTAGTTACTAGAGTTGTGGCACATTTGAGCTCACGAGGAAGCTGATTACATCTGTGTGTATAGTAGCAAGAAACAAGTTCACCCTGTTTTGTTCTGTCCTGAGGCTCTACCAGCTGACTACTTCATAATGTCAGAGCTGGTATACCTGATGGAGATCCAACATGCATTCTGGTCCCATTCCACAGAGTAATTTATAAAATACTTTGAAATCAATTGGTGGCGTTAACCCCCATTCCAACCCTTATTGCTGAGTGTCAAGCAAGAAAGCATCAAGTATTTTACTCGGCCGGGATTTAAACCCCAATCTCCCAATCCCAAGGCACTCATACCACTAGACCACTGAGCTGAAACATCCTTGCATCTTGGTGACCAGCAATATCAATTTTACAATACCAATCACCCAACAGAGTGAAGGCGTACCACTGCACCTTTGCAGAGATACACTTTGAGGAACTGGTTAGAAGCCACTCACCCAATACCATGACAATGGCTGTGCTCTGGTGCAACTTAAAATAAAAAGGTTCATCTACATGAACTTTGACTTTAACAGTTTATATTTAACTTTTACTATGGATGATATACTTCTTGGGCATGTTCGTATCAGTAGAGCTGCTATCTTTCGTCGGTTGGACTTCTGCTCCTCGGTAAGGACCCAGAGGATCAGCAGTAATATCAACTCTTTTAAAACATCTTGTCTTGCTGTTTTTGTAATAATGTGTGCAATTTATGTTTTGGGAATGTAAAATTTGCTCATGTGCACTCATGTGCCAGCTAATTTAATGTATGCTTCTTCTTCTTCTTCTTCAACTTACTTGTGTTTTTATTTTCTTCTTTTGGATTTTTGAGATTTAAAGTTTATTCTAGGTGACATCCAATTAAAGTGTGTGTGTTTACAAACTGATCAAACAGCACTGGCCAGAGACTAGAATATATATTAAAGTCAGATATAGTTTTAGTTTTTATTGAAGGTTTCTTGCATAGAGTAGAAAAATGGGTTTAACTTGTATAAAAGGTTGGGCAACTGAAAAGAAAATGTAATATAGTTAGAAGTTGTTGTGAGTTCTAGCAAATTTAATCTATTTGACCTCCATCCGTTTGTGTCTCCTCTAGACCAGCTGTGTGATTCCTTTCCTTGCTCGAATGATTGTTCTGATTGTAGAATTTCATAAAAGATACCTGTTGTGTGATATCATGTTATTCAGCAAACACATTATTAAATATATTCATGAAGAAATTTTGTACCCAGTCAAGCTAACACTGATGCATGAAAGACTTCTAAAAGTTTATAAAATGAACCGCGAGTATTACAATCAAAAAACATAACAGGTTAGACAATTCATGTCAAACTTTATACAACGGTTCTAAAAAACAAAAAAAGTCTTGTGAAATTGCATAAACACGCAAAAGTGTGCATTTCAAGAAGATGATAAAAGTGGACACATAGTTGTAATAAATTGTTACAAAAGTGACAATAAGACATAAATACAATACAAAGATAATAATATGTTTGTGAAAATAACATTACATTTAAAAGTTAGTACTAAATGCAGGCTGTTGTGATCTGGAATGGGAGGTAGAACCAGGCTGCTGCAGTCTGCAGACCTGAACGACCTGACTGGTTTGTAAGTTGTTAACATTTAATATAATAGTTAATATTTAAAAGACATCATGTGAGAAGTAAATCACTCAGAGATCGTGTGTGATAATAGAAGATCGTATGCTAAACCAACTCAGAAGTATTAAAAAGGTTCAACTACTAAAGTTATTTCCATATTAAAGTTTCCATATCATGCTATTTTAAACTTTTAAGAGCAATAGGCATATTTATGATAAATTATCATTATGTCATTTATCTTACACCTGGAAATAAAACACTTCATTTCAGTGAAACTTTGCCTACGTCTGCTCTGAAAAACCACCACAACAGCGTCTTAGGCGAGCCAGTTTCTGTGTTGGCTATGGTGGTCCAGTGGTGAAGGCATCTGTCTATCTGTCTGTCTGTTATCACCTAAGCCACATAGCCTGTGCTGGCCAGAGGAGACGGATGTCAAACCAGAGACTAGCTTCAGGGAGAGGAGCAGGGCCCGATTACTAGATTAGTTTCCACTGATATTTTACAGGATTTTAAAACTCTAAATTTGCAGCTGAAACAGGAAAATCCAAATGTTTTTTTTTCTTTATCTTGAGGAAATAACAATTACACATGATAAAAAGCTCTAATTCTTCAACTCATTATTTGTGCAGTGTTGTCTAATTAGAGATGGAGAATAATAAATTGCTCACATTCACAGTTTTAGGAAATTCTTTCATTTTTTACCTTTTAAAATTGAAGACATTTATCCAAGTCTTTCCATATTTCCAGCTAAAATGGCTAACTTTTCTGTTTCTGTCCTGTTTTTTTTTTAGATGTGAACAGTTTCATGCTTCTTAAACACAAACAAACAAATTAACTCTGAATGAGAGAAGCAGTAATGTGATCTGATGACATCATCATTCCTAAAGATCAGGGATAAAAGTCATGGAATCCTGGACAAAAAATGTTTTTCAAATAGTTGATTCACACCTTTTTACCTTCTCTCTGTAGTCTTTCTGATCATGAAGCTGATGATCCGTCGGTATCGTCCCTCAGACAAAGACACTGTCCTGAGGCTGTTCAGCGTCTGCATCCGGGAGCACATTGGCCCTTGTTTCCAGAATGCCATGTCCAGTCCTCTCTACATCTCCATCACTCTGTCTCTGTGTCTTGCTGGCTATCTCTTCAGCTCTTTGATGGTGACTGTGCTGTTACCAGCAGCCTGGGCTGGACTTATCTACTACTGCTGTCATGTGTCTTTTGCCAGCTATGTTTCTGAGAGACTTCGAACGGACATGCAGGACATCGTGGGACACTACCTGAGCCGCCCGGATGACTGCTTCTGGGTGGCTGAGGCTGAGGTTGATGGAAAGGTGCAGGTGGTTGGAATGGTGGCTGTGGTCTGCAGGCAGAGTGGCGATGAAAAGTACGGGGAATTGTTCAGGATGATTATATCACAACAGTGTAGACGGATGGGGCTAGGCTACAGGATGACCCAGGTTGTGATTGATTTCTGTAAAGAGCGAGGGTTCACCAAGGTGGTGCTGGAGACCACCGATACCCAGATGGCTGCTGTGGCTTTGTACAAAAAACTGGGGTTCAAACATGTCCTCTTACACAGAGAGGCACACACTTCCTTCTGGGTTATTTTGTTGTCCCGGGTGACTATTGTCAAAATGGAAAAGCTGTTGTAAACATTTCTTTTTGTGCTGGTTCTACAACCAGACAACTATTTCATAGAAGCAATTATTACATTTATTATTGCGATTTGTAAAAATGTAAATGAATAAAAATTCTGTTGTGATCAAACACTATGGCGCCATTGACAGAATGTTAACTCATTGTCATGGTCTGTGTCTGCGTCTCACCTCATGTGTCTCCTTCTGTCCTCATTCGTCTCTAGGTGCTCCTTTTGTGTCTTCTAGCGCCCTCATGTGTCGTGTCTGCGTCTTCCTCATGTGTCTCCTGGTGTTCCCCATTTGCCCTCTAGGTTTCCCCCCTCGGACTTCCCTCTCCCAGGTCCTGTGCTCTCTTGGCCCCCTCTTAGCCACGCCCCTGTAGTTTCTTTCTGTAGTGTTTTCCTTTAGTGTCAGCTTCCCCTTAGAATATTAGTTATGGTTCACGCCTTCTGGTCTTTTGTTTTTCTCTAGGGTCATTTTCCTTTGTTACAGCCTTTCATTATTTAGTGTGTGTTTTCCCACCAGTGTTTTTCTTCCTCCTCCCTGAGTTAGTAATTGTGTTCACCTGGTCCCTCTCCCCACACAACTGCAATTCATCTCCCTCTCATCTTCGCAGTATATTTAAGCCCTGTCTTGTCTCGGTGTTGTTGACGGTCCATTGTAATGTTGTCAGCGTGTGTTGGTGCTCTTAGTGAGCTTTTTGTCTCAAGGTTTTTGGTGCTCTAAGAGAGCTTTGGGTGTCCTGTTCTCCAGGACTTTTGGCCCGCTGCCATTTTGGATTTATTTTTGTTCTTCCTAAATAAAAGGATTTTGACTTTTACCAACTTCTGCCTCGAGTCATCCTGGGTAATCTGCATATTTGGGTCCTAAACATCACCTGCAACGTGACACTCATTTAGAGAGCCCAGTAATTTGAAAGTTTTTGTTGAAATTACTAATCTATGAAATCACTCATAAATATATTTTCTATGATCTAGAAAATGTATTTAAAAGGTAAAACTTTAATAGTGTTTCTCATTTGTGATGTGTTGTAGTTATCTGACAGTCTTCATGTTTAGCTTATTATTTTGCATGCTAAATGGTATTTATCTTATTAAATTACTCTACTAAACAATTGTACGTGCACAAAGATTAAAATGACCTTTTAAGCTTCATTTTTTTTATTTCATCTGAATTATTTTTTCCTTCAAAGTTTCCCTGCAGCCAAGAAGGACATTACTGAGGCACAAAGACTTTAACTGTGGGTTTATTTTTTCCTGGTCAAATTAGCTTTATGGGATTTTAATAAATTATCACTTCAAAAAAAGTTGTATTTGTCTTTTGTTTATGGAGTTTTTATTCTAGTGGGATGTCAGGTAAAGCAGTTAAAATTTAAGATTTGAGTTTGATAATTTTTCAATAATCCACCAAACAAGCTTAGAGTTTTTAATAAAACATTTTGTTTGTCCTAAATCTGACACAAACAATTCAAGGCTGCCAACTCTCACGCACTGAGCATGAGACACACTCATTTGACCCTCTTCACACGCTCTCACGCCACACCTCCAATCTCTATGGCAAGCCAGAACTGCCACAATACACCACTTTCCCAGCCCGTCTAGTTAAGAGATGGCGAAAAAAATGCCATTTGATGTGTCAATGTCAAGACGTCGTAAAATTTGGCGAAAACTCTCCCAGAATGCCGTATTTGATGCCAGCCAGAGCCGTTCTTAACGATCCCGTAGAACTCCGGAAAAAACGACTGTTACAACCAGGTGTCTAGGGGGCCTGGGGTAACACGGAGGACGCGTGACACAAAGGAAAATTAACAAAAGTTTTATTTACTTTTCTCTTAATTCAGAAAAGATGACTATTAATATTGTTGTTAACCACCATGGATCTAAATCCCCTTTTACCAAAACAGGTTCAAACAGTAACATGTAACATAACTCTAAAGAGCACAATATCGAAGTTCTAAGTGGGAGACAACAGACCAGAGGAAAGGCAGCTCTGCACTATTGTCCCCATTGGTGAGGAGCTCCAGCTGGTCCTTTAAACAATTTGCTGCTGATGAAAACCCAGCTCAGCTGGTGCAGGGAGGAGCAAGGGTGAGCCAACAGGCCATAGTCTGCAGGCAGGCTCCTCAGATGCAACATAAAAATGCACAGAAAAATGAAATCACAACACAAAAAGGCTCCAGCCGTAACAACGACATTTTTTCCGAACATTGAACGCCGTTTCTTACGTCACCATCATCCCACGCCCTGTGTGGGTGGCGTAAAAAACGCAGTTTTTTACGGACAATGAACCCTGCTTTTTTCGCCGCTCTGTGACATAAAACGTCGTTTTTAACGCCACTTTGTGACAGTTTTCACGCGTTTCAAATTCAACTTTACTCTCATTTATGAAGAGCCCTCCCCATGGGTTTCTCATCCATTTAATTTAAACTCCAGTGACCCAGTGAAAGAAGAGGAGGTTGAGGCAGCACTAATTCATCACAGATTCGCCGGGCTGTCGAGGTTGCTGCAGACTACTGTTTTCTAATACAACTCTGCTCTGTTTAAACTAATTTCACTGTATAGATAAAGCCTTGAAATGTTATCAACAATGTGTCAACATTATTTTTCTATCCACCTGTAAAAGGCAGAAACGCAGTTTCAGTCATACCTGATGATTACTTAAAGGTTTGGCCACTAGATGGTGCCACGTATCCGTCTGTCCTCCTGTCGTGGCTCGTGAGTCCAGCTGGAACATCAGTGCTCTTTCTGTCCAAAACTCCCTTCTTAAGCTCATCCACTTTGAGTATTTACTAATGTTTAATTTTTTAATTTTTTATTTTTTTTACTGTTGTTATATTTGTCTTACAGGAGCCCCTGAAGATGTTCGGTCTTGTTTCTCCATCATCACTCTCCAGATCCTCAGACCAGCCACTCCAGAACCTTCCCAGATCCAGGATCAGAGCACTTTAAAAGTTTGAAACATGTCTGCTTGTTGAGTTGTTCTCCCATAGAAGCCTTAAACTAGAATTTGCTAATGAGCTTTCTTGGCTAAAATATGCTCTTGAATGTTTTATTTTCATAAATATTTCAAGAAAAACGTTTTTCATTGCTGCTTCACCAAGACATGACTCTGAAAATGTCCTCATGATCCTGAAACGCTGGTTAAAACAAATTACTTTTAACCTCTTATAAAACAAGCGTGTCTGTTGATGATTATGCCCACTACAATACTGAAGCACCTGCATACTTGCTGCCGATTTGCTAACTTTCTGTAATATTTTGAAAATAATGTTGAAAACAATGAACTGCTGTAACAAATTTCAAATGTTCTAGATGAGCACTTGTTTCTATTCAACTAATCATTATTTCTGTGATTAGTCAGCTTTTTTCTTTTCAATAAACACTTGAAAAATTACAATTATCTTTCTGAAAAAAATGTTTATTAGTGTTGCACATGTATAATAATCTGCACTGGTTTTGACAGTTATGGTATTTTTAATCTATAATAATAAAATACAGTGAAAAGATATTTACAATTGATTACTTCAAGTTCCTACTATTTACATGTTATGCATCGAGTGTCATGAACTGAACTAGGAAGACCCGTGAAGATGCCAAACACAGTAAAAATATATTTAAATAAAAGTCTTTATTTGAAGCAGAGTTAGCAGAGATCAGGCAAGGTGAATTGCTGGAGAATTTACTGGCACGAAGTTTTCAATAATCTGGCACTGAATGACTGGATGGCTGGTTCTTTTGTAGCAGGGGAAACAGGTGTGAGTGATGAGCTGAGGAGTCAGAAGCAGGTGAAGTGGATGAAGCTGATTGTGGTAGTCAGGGAAACAGGGCTTGGCTGGGGCTTGCTGATGAGACCAGGTGTGCTGCATGAAGGCAGAGGAGGGTGAAGGACTGGGAGTCATGACATTGATCCTGCAAATGGCTGTATACTAAGGCATACAAAGTCAGTGCCTGTACACAGGTAGTTTGCTTGTAAATGTATATATTTCTGTTCTATATGATCCTGTATTCTTCATTAATACTACTTACAAATCCACAAGTCTGTAGAATTGCCTTGTTTATTTGAGCAGGTATTGGATAATCCTTTTAGTTAAACTCCTGATTAACAGTAAAAAACTATAAAACTAGCTGCAAGGCATCTTCCATCTGCTTACACCTAACAAAAAAACCTTTTCTTCAGCAGGAGGCACTTTCTTCTTCAAAATATGTTACTTATAAAATGGTGAAGGTATATAACATATAATGTAAAAAATATATAGTAATAGGTAAAATTATATTAAGTGTAGGGCTGCACAATACAGCCACAGCTGCCCTTGGGGACACAGACAGACCGTTTCCTCTTATTGTATCCCAGTCACTATTGTAGTTGTTTCACTCATATGAGGACTCCAGAAATGATATTAGGCCAGTGATTAGTTCCATACCATGATGCCCGCTGGGGTCACTTAGTGGAGTAAACTGTGCTACAACTTGCTCCATGACATGATCCCCCACAGTATTTTCAATGTTTGGCACAGTGATTCTCTCTGGCCAGTCAACAAGCAATGCCAAGTCATCTGTCCCATGTCTTAAGGTTGGTTTATGCTTGACGCGTCCGCGAGGTCCGCATGGGAAAGTTGCGTCATTTTAACAACCACGCCCCTCCACCGCGCCTCCGCACGGCCCAAACTTTCCGCACTGCGCACCTAGGAAATTTTCTAACCACGCGGACGGTCGGACGCGGAAAAACATGGCGGACTGGCAAGAACTAGTATGGCAGAGGTTCGTAAATACAGACATTTGTATGATTCAGCTCTCAGAGATCACCTTGATCAACATGTTGTTAATAATTCTTGGAGAGAAATAGCTCGCACTGTCGGAAAAGACGAGGACGCTGTTAAAAATGTTGGAATGCCATGTTGTAAACAACAGTAATTTTTACTTCTACTACGCTTTAGTGTTGGATGCATGCCATAGAGCTCCATGCTGCCCCGTTCAGTTTGGGAGAATATTGGCTCACCGCAGAGACAGGCCTCATGAACCAAAGAACGCTGCAAGTTGTGACGCGTGTTCCATCCGCGAGCCGCATCACCAAGCAGAAAGTAATGCGTCAAGCATAAACCAAGCTTTATGCAGAGTCTCATCCTGGAGGCGTTGTCCTTTATCCACCAGCAGATGTACATATCTAGATGTTAAACTGCATCTGAAACGTGTGAAATAATTAAAGATGTGGTTGACTGACAAAACATTTATTTGATGTTTTTTCTTTTTATAATCAATCACTGTGAGTTGTTCATGCAGGCTGAATAAGAAAAGTCTTCTACCCCAATCTCCTGCATTTGCTTCTGACAGAAAATAGTCTGTAAATCTCTATGATTTGAAAATCCTGTCAGATCTACATCATACTGTTACTGAACATTCATGGACACACCCATCTTGACTCACGAGGGGGAGGCTGTTGTTTACCATCCAGGAATCAGCAGAGAACATCTCAGCTAACCATTAGTATCACCACATGGCAGAATTTCCTCCAGGCAGGGGCATGTCCAGGGAGTGGCCTGGGGTAGCACATGCCACCCTATGCCATCTAATAGGCCACCCCAGGTGCCACCACACTAATTTACCTTTAAATAGGCTTTTCATTGTCCACAAAAGGCTTAGGGGTAAAACAAAAAAAAGCATAACCATTGATGCCACCCATGCACAAAGTTGTGCCTCACCTGGGCCACCCCATTTTAAAAGATCTGGACACGCCACTGCCTCCAGGCTTGTCTGACACTCAGCTGTGTTGTGGGCAAATTTCAGGTCCAAGAAATGGTGCACCGGTATATTATTTCCCAATAGA